TTTAGTAAAAAGAAACAACATGCAAACCTGAATGTTGAAAATGTGATCAATCAGACAAGCATGGAAAAGAATAACAGAGCTGGAAGTGACTTTGGAGGTCTTTTAGCTTAACCCCCTGCTCAAGCAGAAGACCCTTTACTATTCAGACAAATAGTTGTCCAGTCTCTTCTTAAAAACTTACAGTGTTGGAGCACCCACAACTTCTAGAAGCAAGTTATTCCACTGATTAATTGTTCTTTCTCCTTAATTCTAGGTTAGTTCTCTCCTTGATTAGTTTCCATCTGTTGCTTCTTATTCTGCCTTCAGGTGCTTTGGAGAATAGGTTGATCCCTCTTCTTTATGGAAGTCCCTTAGCTATTGGAACACTACTATCCTGTCCTGAAAATGTTGGCTAAGTAGATTCACACTCCATTGCATTTTTATTTATATTATTAACCATTATTAAACATTTCTGAGTATGGAATTCCTCTCAATAGCTAACTTCCTCTGGTTCTAGGTTCCTCAATGACTCTGATAAATAAATAGTGACTAACTTGCTCAGGGCCTTGTTAGTTACTCTCATCTTAGTTTGCACATTGCTCTAAATCATGGTTTAACTGTGATGTATCATATAAACCACAAAGGGATTAGAGAGCATGGCTCTTAAGCAGTAAGCCATAATTTGCAAGCCACAGTAGTCAGTTCACACTAAATAGTAATTATAATCGAACCACATTCTATCTTTGTATGACATCTGAACTCTGTGTTCATCAAACAATTTTATGGTCAGCCTATCTGATTATTGTTCTTTTAACTACTGATTTCTGAGGTGGGAAAGATAGAAATTGGAAGACTAGCTTCCAAATTGGGCTTTTAACTATTATTCAAAAAGCAAAATATAATTGGGTAGGGCACCAAGAGTCCACAATCTTCCTTCCAGCCTCCCTCATTGTCTTAATTACAGAAGTAGCAAATGTATTGCTGCACTTTTTATCTTTTGCATAATGTAAGGCAAAGCCTACTCCATCAAAAAAAAATCTCCTTCCCATTTTCAAGCTATTTTTTTCCAATCTCCTGATAGCGTCTTGGTTGCTCATATTTTCTTGCAACAAATTCAATTGTGTAAGTCTGCTTAAAATAAATATTGACTCATTGTGGAGGTGTTAAGGCACTTCTGTTTCTAAACAAAATCACACTTAAAGTCACACTTCAGTAGATTCCATGGAATGCCTCAGGATCCTTATAATAATATTGACTGTTAAAGAAATGTGCTTGAAAACATTAAAAAGTTTTGGAGAAGGTAAGGAACATACAGAGATAATGAAACCATTTTTTTCTAGTTCTGTCTCTTAAACTGGAAGTAGAATTAAGAGACAGCTTCATCTCTTGATTGCAATTGTAGAAAATTAGAATTAGACCCCCACCCTAGTTGGTTCTTAAACATGACTAATATGAACATATAGTGTGAGATGCTGGAAAAATGTAGTTCAGCTGCATCTGATGGGATGCAGGTTCCACTTCCTACTTTAGCATGGAGTTTAAAGGAACAAACTAGGGTAATTTTTGATAGATGGACTGTACAGGTTAGATGTAAGAAGACATTGCACAGCCCTGTTGTCTTTCAATGGCAGTATTAATCCTGGCTTGATTTGTAGAGGAAGAAAGTTGTCTGATTTGACTTGTGAGTGCAAATCTTGAAGAATGTGAATAGAGGCAAATTGCTCATCACAGATGACAGCATCTAACTGATATCAACTGATTCAGAAAAACAACAACGCCAAATCAGAGTGAGATATTGAGTACTTGAATGGGAGATGTCTTAAGAGATTCCAGGGCTGTTGCCTAGACTGGGAAATTAATGTATCCCAAAAGAAAGCCAAGGCAAGCCACTTGTTACCAAGACAACCATGCAGCTTTATCCCTGTGGTCACCAAGAGCTAAGCTAGAAGTACTCTACCTTTTTGAATTCTCCTCACTCAGTTAAAACTCATCCCCACCTTGTTTTGTAAATTTGGTAGTGTCAATGTATTACAGATAGTCCTCACTTAATGGTGATAATTAAAATGAAGATAATGGGGACCAGAATTTCCATTGGTAAGTGATGGGGGGGGGGGGTAAAGTGCAATGTCATGTAACCACCTCACTTAACAATGGCAATCCCAGGCAGTCCCCTGTTGCCATTCTAAAGAAAATCACCACAGGGCATTAAGTGAGGCTTACATATGATCACCATTTTTGACTTCTTGTTGGCTTCTCTATTGACTTTGGTTGTGGGAAGCTCTCACGATACTGTGACATGGGAAATGCTGTGACAATAGTAATTTTGAGGGGCAGTCATAACTATCACATGTACAATGCAGTTATTATTTCAAATGGTCACTGAATGGTCATTAAGCAAGGACTACCTATAAGAGTTACAAAATAAATTCTGATGCTTACTGTGGCAAGTAGAGTGGGAGGTTTCTACTTTTTCAGGGGTGGGGAGGACAAATTTAATTAAAATAGGGCTTGGGTTATTCTGCTATAAAAGAATGCAAAATCCAGAATTATTTGCAGGACCCATTTTGGGAGGGGCCCATGTGCAGCTAATAGCAATATTAATAGGAGAGGTTTGAACTATGATGGGAGGCACACACCAAACATGTTTTGTCCTATTAATTTTAAGAACAGCTTCACAGGATTTCTTTTTATTAGTCTTCATGACTAAATACCAGCTCTTAAAGCTACTTGTTATAGCTGACAATTCTTGTAGCTAAACGTGTTTCCTGTCCTGAGTCTTTGTGTGTTTATTTTTTGCCCAACAAGTTTACTCTGCAAGTTGTAGAATGCAATGCAATGGATTATATTTGTAAATTCCCCATCTTGTGGGCCCTCTGGGCAACTTTCCCAGTGCCTGCAGACGGATGCCTTAAGACTGTCTGCAATAAATATTTATTTCTAGAATTTCTTGTCTGGTGATTTATAAAAAATAAAGTATTCTTTTGTCTTACATATTATATCTCAAAACTTGTAGCTCTGACAGCAGATGAGATACAAGTTAACCCAATCCAATTTTAACGTGATTCTGATATACAGCTAACTCTAGATCTGTCTTGGAATCATAACCTCTGGTTTTAACTGTCTGCTAAATATACCCAAGATATCCCCGTATTTGGTTCTGCACACGGAGCCCCACTCTTAAGGACCAGGATGCAACCTCAGAAAATGAGGTCACTTTTAACATCCCATCAGACCAAGTGCTGGTAGAAAGTAGCAAATAGTATATTTTGAGAATGAGTGTTTCTCAAAATAAAAAATGTGTATAAAAGTAGGCTTTTGCACACTATTTTATATGGAAATGAAAGATGTATATGTTAGAAGAAACAGAAAAATGAACTGAGCACATGTTGTGACCAGCTTTATCCATATCAGGATTTCAGATACAGATAGATAGTACTCAGTAGAACTCAAACCTAGAATTTCAACTCAGAGTTCTACACTTTAAATGATCATATACATATGCTTTCATTTTACAAGCAATACAAGTCCTTTCCAGTTGCAGGAAGAGATAATTAGAAGTACTATCAGAATTGTCTATATAATCTACTTTCCTTTAAGCTCCTACATTATGACATTCCACCATGTCTGAGTCCCAATAAAGGGTATAGAAGTCATATAAAATCCTGTACAGGGAGACATGCTATAATGTCACACTTGTATCTCTATTCTCTGAAACTTTAAAGGAAGGTGGACTATACTATTCTGATAACGCTTAAGACGTACAAGACGGTGGTTAGGGATAATAGGGCATTAGATGAAAGTGGACTGAAGGCAAAAGGATGAAGGGAGTATGCAGAGATGGTTTGTCACGAGGAATGAATTGCAAAACAGATGCAAAGGAAGAATAAATAATAAATGGAGTTAGTTCAAAATAAAGTTAGTGATCTTTTCTATTATGTAATTAAGAATTGGGGGGGTCAAAAGGAAGACCATGAAAGTTGTGGTTGATCATCAAAAACAGAGAAATTTAAGAAACAAAAGGCAATATAAGGTGATACTGTATGGAGAGTTACAATAAATGAAGTGAGTTTAAAATAAAGTTAGCGACTTTTTCTATTATGTATTTAAATTTCTTTGCTTACTAGTTCTGAATCCTCTTCTGAACATTATATCATGCTGTTTATTCGGTCATGGAATATGATGGTTATGTATGTATTTTTAATGTATGTATTCAAAGCATTTTTATGTTACTTTTCATTATGAACAGTCCTAAGCCATACATTTGGCATCATGGGATGTGAAATTCCAGAAGATTTAATAATTGAATCATATCGTTTACATTAAATTAGCACAAAGAAAGTAGCAGTTTATCTGTTAGCAATGGCTAAAATAGCTATGATGTGTTCACAGCTGTTAAATTAGGTATATATAATATATATAGTATATATAACATGGTGTTCCTGAGGAGAAAGTTGTATAGAATATGTTCCCCTAAGATAGATATTTGTAGTACTTAAGCAGTACTAAGCATAATGCATTTGCTTCAATAATTTAATATAAAATTTATAAAGTGAAACTTTGCTATTTTTGGTGTATCTGTGTTAAAAAATAGTAAAACTAAATTCAAGAAAACTTGAGGGATTGATTTAAAATAATTTTAATATCCATCATTAAATCTGGTTCCTTGCTGATATAAAATAAATTGCTCTACCTCTATATGATAGATGTAACAAATAAATAAAACCAGCAAATAAAAGCACAAAAAGCATGTAGAAGTGCCACCAATATTTTAAAATGTATGGTAAATAAACAATGCCTTAAGCTGGTGCCTGAAAGCCAGCAATTGATTCCAGTGTACAATTTGGATGTAAAAGCCTTCTCATTTACACCCACAAGATGTGCTGCTGATAAGGGAGTATGTGCAGGTTGGTAATGGGAAATGGTATTTCTTCTTTTGCACCAAAAAACTATTACACCATAGGCGTGTTAAAAACTGAATTTACAGCAGATCAAGTGAAATTGGTTTTTTTTCCTTTCTGTAGATGGATCTCTCCCATAAATTATCTAAGAGACAGGTAAGAATCTCATTCATTACTGAACATAAGATGTATTCTACTGGATCAGAGAAAAGATCAAAAGTAGCCCTTGGCCTACAGACAAATTGAGCCCAAAATTTCCCTCAGTTGTTAACTGAGCTTTGCTTTTTAAGTGAATCTGGCTTCCCCCACTGACTTTGCTTGTTGGAAGTCAGCTGGGAAGGTTACAAATGGTGGTCACATGGGACACAAATGGAACACCACAACTGTCATAAATACATGCCTGTTGCTGAATACCCAAAATTTGATTATGTGACCATATAACGGTTATAAATGTGAAAAGCAGTCAAAAGTCCTTTTTCTTCAGTGCCGTTATAATTTTGAACGGTCATTAAATCATGCTGACCCTTTTCAGTTCAGACTGTCCTGCCAGTTTCACTGGGTAAACTCCTAATGAAAACATTTGATTAGAATTATTTGCTCCTTTAAAAAAGAAAGGCTGTACTGTATTTGAATTTCTAGAGTCTAGATGTTCTGCCCAAGCACCTAGTTTCCACTATGTGAAATGCAATATAAAGTAAACCACCATTATTATAAAATCAGTCACAGATTGGTTCAATAAGCAGGTCCCCAGGAACAATTTGACAGGTTTAAATGAAAGAATGCCTAGCAAGTACCATATTAAATATAGGCGATCTGGCTTCTCAGTCACTACCCTCCCACTCCCTTCTGCCTAATGACCTCATACTGTATTTCTCCTCTCTGCTTGCTGCTGGGGATTTAGAAAGCATGTTGGGTTGGCTTGCAATGGTAACCTTTGGGAGGGGTGAACTTAGAGAATTTATGTCCTCCCCTATGTCCCTGGTGGGCACAATCAGCACAGGAGGCAACAATGCACACTACAATTGTATCAATTGAATTAAAAGCTTGAATACGACTATCTCTTTAGTACGTTCCTTCTTTTCAGCACAACTACTTAGAGATACCCATCACGGATGAACACAATTCTTCCCAATAAATGAAAGAAGGCAGGTTATCTTATTAGTAATCCAGTTAATGATTTAATAATCAAGTAGGTACCAAAAGTTGTCTTGTAGTACCTTGATTCAGGAAAGATTTCCTAATGTGGAAAAGATAGTAAAAGAAATAGCAGACAAAAATAAAATAGTTAACTATAGAAGAGAGAATCTCTTCCAGTCTACCTACCTATCGTTACACATTTCTCATGCTTCTCTCCCCCCAGCCCTTCATTTCCTAATCTAAGTGTATTGGACTCTGATCAGCTAGTTTTCGTCCATCTTGCCACAGACTATTGTTACAATTTAGAAGAGAAATTGAGGAGTCTAGTTTTGCTTGGGCGGCTCTTATATTTTTATCCATTAGGCATATTTTGAATTTCTGCTGGATTTTGACACATCATTGTTTTAGTCCATCTTAGCCTGCTTTTGTACTCCCACATGCTCATGCTTTTAGATGGACTCTTCAATTTTTTTTTCTTGTTTACTTATCTCTTTACTGTCCTTCCTTTTTTTTCTAAATTTGTATTGCTTTTAAATTGTAAAAAAATATTTGCAAACTGTAAAATAGTTTGCAACCCTGCTAATCCAAATTATGCTGATTTGATTCTGATCTGTTTTTAATTTTTGTTTAATTATTGTTGCAGCTCACCCTGCTGTACGAAGAGGTCCTTTACACCATTCTCCATCGTGTGGGCCAAGTGGAACAGAATCATGTTACTGATTCAGATGAGCTCTATGAATATGTGCAAAAGGTTGGGTTAAAGAACCAAATTCATGTATCTTATTATTCATCTTCAAGGCTTTAGGCTGCACTTAAGACTACATTCTTTTCTTTCTTTTTCAGTGTGTGTGTTTTCTCTCTCTCCAAGTGCTAATGAAACAAATAGCTGCTCTCTGCAGTATGGTCCTGTAACTATGTTTGTAGGCAGGATACTCCATGCCTCTGTTTTTCTCCCTTCCTGTCTTCCTCTCCTCCTGCCCCCCCATCACCCTGTCTTTGGCCTTCTTGCCAAAAGCTTTAATACAGTGGTTCTCAACCTTTTTAATGCTGCGACCCCAACCGGTCGTACGTCAAGGACTACCCAACCGGTCGTAAGTCGAGGACTACCCAACCGGTCGTAAGTCGAGGACTTTCCCTGCCTGGGAGCGCCGGGCATGCATGGTGCCGACCCCTGCGCCAGCCGAGGCGTAGCTGGCAAGTGGCAGAGATGGTGCAGGCCGACCACCGGCTGGGCCACCAGCTGGCCCAGCCCAAGGGAGGTAAGGCACCCACCGGGCCCCACGCACGCCAGCAACCCTCCCTGCACCCGCTGGCCTCCCACTTCCCACGCCTGGCCCTCTTTTACTTACATTTTTAGTAGTTGCTCAGCAGGGAAGGGTGGAAACTTCCAGACAGCTCGCCTTCACTGCAGACAACTTGCAGCACCGTTTGCAGAATGGGACTTTTGGCGGGCTCAGCAGGGCAGAAACAGCCTGGACAATTCCTATTGGCTTTTGAAATCCAATAGAATTAGACTCTATTCAAGAGAGTCTATTCTATTGGCTTTCAAAAGCCAATAGAATAAAAGGGAATAGCACAGCTAAGGAAAAGGGGAAAAAATGGCGGATTGTGTTGTTTGGTGACCCCCGTGAAATGGTCGTTCGACCCCAAATGGGGTCCCGACCCACAGGTTGAGAACCACTGCTTTAATAGATTAGAAACCAAGGGCTTTTGAAATTATGAGGGAGATATGACTTCAGGATACAGAATATTAATTCCTTGTTAAAAGAAACTCATGTTCTAGTGTGTGTTTGCTTTTACTTTGGGGGCTTTCCTATTTTGGGTAATATTGAAATCATATTCTCACTTTGAAAATTTCTTTCCTAACATCCAAATCAGGCCTTCAGTATTGATCCAGAAGAGCATCAAATTATATTACAGAGGGTCAAAGAGCTAGAGGTAAGATCTAACTCCAATTTTCCATTCACTTGTAGGTTGTTATTATGGAATTGTTCTATTCATTTTGTCACAAAAGGGTTTCCAAGTATGTTTTGTTGTTTATATTCCAGATTAGTCTAAATTATTCATGTTATGATTATTCATCATTAGCCTTTCTCAGTTTAATGATTATATCAACCTTGACATTCCAGATCCCTTCTGTTCACCTGCTAGCTAGGTCCTCATGTTAAGATCTTCTCTTTTCGTTTTTCAGAGGCCAATTTTTTGTCTTAAAGCCACGGTGAAGCAAGCCAGAAATATTCTGGGTAAAGATGTCAGTGGTGAGTAGAAAAAATATACCACAGCTCAAAAGAGAGAGGGAGGGAGGGAGGGAGGGAGGGAGGGACATTTTGAAGGAATCTGTGGAGAGAAGATACTACCGTACATGAGATGTCTGCTAGGAAGGGAAATTTAAATCCTTTCGTTTCTTGCATACTCATGGGCATTTTCTGCCTTCTGACAAGTTGAGTAAGATTTGCCCACTAATCTTAAGGAATCGTTGACATGTATCAGGCATATTCCTAAATGGAACGTACAAAATTTCATATAATGCCACTTGGGAGAGACAAATTCAGAGAGAGAGAGACAGACAGCCAGAGAGACAGACAGAGACAGAGGCAGAGACAGACAACAGACGATGGAGAGACGGAGAGAGAGACAGAGAGAGAGAGAGAGAGATATTACTATGCTATTAAAACAATACTAATGAATATAAAATTTCAAGTCTGGAGGAAGGATGCTTTTCTGCCTGTTCTGTTATATCACCTTCTACAAATTGTTCCCCACAAGGCAGCTTACTATTTTAGTTGGGGAGCATAAGGGAAAGGCTTATGATTTGGACAGTTTGCTTATAGTTCTCATGGTAATCCTAAACAACACTTTGATTGGGTTAATAATAATAATAATAATAATAATAATAATAATAATAATAATAATAATAGTAAAGTTGGAAGGGACCTTGGAGGTCATCTAGTCCAACCCCTGCTCAGGCAGGAAACCCTATACCATTTCGGACAAATGGCTGTCCAGTCTCTTCTTAAAAACTTCCAGTGTTGGAGCATTCACTGCTTCTGGAGGCAGGTTGTTCCACTGGTTAATTGTTCTAACTGTCAGGAAGTTTCTCCTTAGTTCTACGACGGTTGCTTCACTCCTTGATTAGTTTCCATCTTTTGTTTCTTGTCCTGCCTTCAGGTGCTTTGGAAAATAGCTTGACTCCCTCTTCTTTGTGGCAGCCCCTGAGATATTGGAACACTGCTATCATGTCCCCCCTCATCCTTCTCTTCGTTAAACTAGACATACCCAATTCCAGCAACCGTTCCTTATATGTTTTAGCCTCCAGTCCCCTAATCATCTTTGTTGCTCTTCTCTGTGCTCTTTCTAGAGTCTCAGCATCTTTTTTACATCGTGGTGACCAAAACTGGATGCAGTATTCCAAGTGTGGCCTTACCAAGGCATTGTAAAGTGGTATTAACACTTCACGTGATCTTAATGGGTTGATACCCATTAAGCCTTGCCTTGTTTTAATCATGATTCCTGAACTTAGTTCACACAGTACAATTAAGCCATACTATAACAGTGAGCAATCTTTTGTTGCCTGAAGTATTTAGAGGAGGCTGAGTGTAATTATCAGAAGAAAGAGGAAGTAGATGATGATCCCTCTGATTAAAAGAAGTTGCCTGCATGGTGTAAATTAATTGACGGTGGAAAATGAATGAAGCAAATTAATGCAACATTTTTTTTCTTGGATTTCCAGGGATAGTGGAAAATAATGACCATGCACAATATCAAGATTAATAGTGGAATGGGGAAAGAAAAGTTTAGAGGACTTCTGCCATAGTTCTGCTACTCATTATAAAACCTTAACATAGTGCATGGCCCCTGCACATTTTAGAATTTCTTCTTTGCTTTCAGGATTAAGTGATCCATACTGCCTCCTAGGGATAGAAAGAAAAAAACAGGGCTCTTCAGCCCACGGTTCTCCTCATCAGGAGAACAAAAGGCGATCTAAGGGTGTGGTGAAGAACCTGCTGCCAGAGGACCAGACCCATCGCACACAAGTCATCCATCAGACATTAAATCCAGTGTGGGATGAAACCTTCATTCTGTATGTCCCATCTCTTTAGCATATTTGATTTGTGTTGGCCTTAACAGAACATTGGACTTATTAGAAAATGAAACTCAAAGATAATTTTAAAGCTGGAAAATGATGTAATGCTATATCCAGGAAAAGCTCTTGATTGACTATTGGGGGAAAAAAATTAGGTGAGAGAGATGAACAGGTGGTTGTTTGAAGTTAAAAACCCAGGAAGAGTTTACCATAAGGCAAATGGCATCTGATAGCTTTTTTTTATGGCCAAGGCCTGAGAGAAGTGAGGCCTTCGTGGGTTACAGTACAGATATTGGGAAAGTGTAATCACACTGTTAGACCTCTTCCTGTACAATAGCCATTGGTTTTTAAGCTGGTAGTATAGGGTGGCCTGAAAGCCTTTGGATCAGTGTTATTCAATCCTGGCAACTTTAACTTCTCCATGCTAGCTGGGGAATTCTGGGAGTTGAAGTCCACATGTCTTAAAGTTGCCATGGTTGAAAAATACTGCTCCAGATGGATTGGACTTCACCTTCTGGGAGTCATAATTTGAGGTATCCAGAGAACGTAGGTTGGGAAAGTTTGGTATGTTTGGTTTTTAAGATCAGCTGCTATATTTTCTAACCTTTCATTTCTATCATTAGCTATGAAAGGGGATGGTGAACTGAATCCATTCTTCTCATTCATTCTTTGTTCATATAATTATGTTCATATTTGCTGACCATCATCTCTATAAGCCTATTCATCCACTAGCTCCACCCAAATGCACTTTTCTTATCACTTAGCAGAAAAGGATCCTGATGTACATCTGTAGGCGGACGTAGTCCTGTTACATTGGCTCAGTGAATGGATAATTGTTCCTGCTGGCATGTGACAGTGGGTGGGTCTAGCTCTATTTGATCTATTTTTGCAGGTAAGGGGATTGTGTACACCTTCCCACTCCAGCGTTCCTTTGCATTGGTCATGTTTTTTAAACTGTTTCTTCCAGGGAGTTTGAAGATATAGAAAACGCTGAATTCCAGCTAGATATATGGTAAGCAGAACTAGCTCTTCATTCCTACGGAATTTCATTATATCTCATTAAAATTTGAGGAAACGGAAGCCAGAAAGGTGACAGATTCATCAGGCAAACACAGTCCAACATAATGAGGGGGTAGCAGCAGACCACTTAGGGATGACCAGAGTGGAGCATATGCAACCTGACTGAGCTTCCAGTGCATGTGTGCACCCACAAGTATAAGGCCACGGTTCATGAAGGGGTTGGAAAGGATTTTATCAACCAGGCTCTGCATCCTTTCTCCAGTTATTTAATGATTTCACAAGATAAAAATATATAAACATATTTTTCAGATAACAGTGATTGGTTTGATATTTCATCCTGTGGCAGGCACTATAGTGCCCTAGAACTGTCAATCATCTCCAAAAAATATGCTTAATGTCAATAAATCCTTTTCTGAGTAAGCGGAACCTCTCACTACATTTCTTTCATGCTATGTCTCAAACAAGGAAATTCTTAAGGGAACTACTTTTCTGCCTAGATGAACATTTAATATTCCTATAGGCTAACAGCCATAAAGTGAGCGAGGCTATCACAGATGTAAGTAAAGCAATAGTTGTGGAGGAGGGGCTCTCTTTATTTTTCTAATATGTCAGCTATAGTTTGTTTCCCCTCTGAAAATATCAAAGAACTGTGCTGTCAGTTTTCAAAAATTACTCAGAGGATGTTCTAAGGTCTTCGAAAAGGGGCAAGGGATTATGGGCTGCAAACGGTTCACTTTTAAACATCTCTGAGGGATTGGAACCTCCCCTAAGTAAGCAAAATAAGAAGAGGTTATTTTAAGTCCAGATATTGCTCTTCTCCACCTTTAGAAGAAGTGCCAGCTCGGGGACAGATCATTTTGGAGAAGGTAGATATCTAGGTGGTTTCTGAGAGTCAACCCCCACTTGATAGCATATAATCAAACAATTGCTCTTTTTGCTTGATTTCTTTTCTTTCTGTTTCCCAGAGGTATTGAAAAGGAGTATCACAGCATATTTTTATTTGCTTTTTTAAAGGGATTTTGATGCTGTTGAACCTGTACGGCAGAAACTGGAAGAACTGACTGACCTCCGTGGACTGAAGAGGTTTGGGCTGAGCCTTTTGTATATTAAATTCTATTAATTACATAATTCAGTTGACAAGGCTAAACAAAACATTTGAGTAAGGCAGCATATTCTGTTTCTCTTTGGTACGAGAGAAATGTTCTATCATCTTTGTCCTTGTTCTGTTTTTTTCTACTCAGAATTATTAAGGACGCTCGTAAAAATAAAGGACAAGACGATTTCCTGGGGAATGTGGTCATTCGTCTGCAGGTAAGAAAGGGAATAGCATGTTGCCAGAATAATGCTGGGAGACACACACACACACACACACACCACCACCACCTCGATCTTGGGCAGAGAAATATTTCTTTAGCTCTGATCTGTCTAGGCCCTTAGACACTTAGACGGCAACATAAATGCCATTAAATGAAAAGGTAAACTGAAATTTCAAGTGAAGTGTGGCTTTTATGTGACATGAAACAAGTTGGTAGCAGAATATGTCACCTTGCTGTAAATAAATCTGAGACTCCTTTTACAAACACTAGACCTGATGAAAATGCTGTAAGAAAACGATAGATTTTGCTGGAGTAAACTGAAAAATACTGAAAAGGCCTATATTGCAGGCCTCGGTGTCAATTTCTATTTGGTCTCTGGATAGTACATGACCAGGGTTTATGAGAACTTGAGTGACTCTATAAAGATCTTCAGCTATGCCAACTACAACTTAATTCAAGAACAGATTTATCTTTCCTAGCCAGATGCCATACAGATATCTTGGACTCCAGGTCCCACAGTTCCCAGCTAGCATCAGAATTGTGGATTTGGTTTAATATATCTGGAGTGCAATAAATGGGGGGGGGGCTGGAAACCACAAATGTGGTGCTTGTTACTAGGGAATATATCTGCAGAACTTTCATGAATCAATCATTACTACCGATATAACTGAGAGTACAAGAAAGTCCAGTTGAAGCCATTCATTCTTGTGCTGAAATTCAATTACAATACAATGAGGTAAAATAGGTGGGTCCATTTGAGAGATTCCTCTTGCTTGCTCAATTTCTTAATTTCTAAATTAATTGAGACACTGCATTTCCTGATGAAAGTAAGGCAGTCCTCAGCTTACAACAGTTCATGTAATGACCATTCAAAGTTACGACAGCATTGAAAAAAGTGACATGATCATTTTTCACATTTACGATCTTTAAAGCATCCCTATGATCATGTGATCAAAATTCAGATGCTTGGCAACTGGTTCATGCATTATGACCGTTGCTGTGTCTCAAGGTTGTGTGATACCCTTTGGCAACCTTTTCACAAGCAAAAATCAATGGGGGAGTCAGATGCGCATAACAACCACGTTACTAATTTATCAACTGCAGTGATTCACTTAATAACTGTGGCAAAAAGGTCATAAAATGGGGGCAAAACTCACTTAAAAACAGAAAATTTTTGCTCAGTTGTGGTCAAAGTTGAGGACTACATGAAGAACCATTTTATGGAAATGTAGTAGAAATGGAGAAACGGCACTTTGAAGAAGTAACGTGGTTCATTACTTCTGAGCTAAGACTTTTCACCACACTTGTGTAGGACCTGCATTGTCGGGAGGATCGCTGGTACAGGCTGGAACCTCGCACTGATACTTACCCCAACCGAGGGCATTGCCACCTGCAGTTTCTTTTGGTACATAAGAAGGTAGGATTAAGAGGAATCAATTTCCCATTACAGAAAGGAAGTGTACTTTATAAATTTTTATTTCAACAGTTTTGATTCATTTAAATTTTAAGACCTGTTCAGGACAGTTGCCTTCATTTGCTGCAATCTTTGAGACAAGGTTGGCCTATCATTGAGATAGGACAGGATCTTTTTTTCTTGTAGGAAGCTGGTTGGGAAACTCTTCCCCCCCTTCTTCACAAAGAAAGAAGAAACTCAGATATTCTAAATTGCTCTTCTGGTGTGACATTTTATGACTTTAAGAGCCAATTAAAACTGTGTTGATGAAAGATTGACTTATAAATTTGGAGTCTGCTTTAGCTTACATTTTGGAGAAAGATAAATATATCTTACACTAATGCATCAAGGACTTATTGTTACCATGTTTAAATGTTCAATGATATGTGGTTTTTGTAATTGTGAACATGGATGTATATGTAAGTATTCTAATATCTTCTAAGAGCTTGATCTGTGTATTTTTTAAAAAAAATTTTAGAGAGCTACTTCAGCCAGCAAGACACAGACAAATTACACAGTTCATCGGCAACTTCTTCAGCAGATTGTTTCATATGAGATTCTTCAGTACCAGGTAAATAGATAAACAAGAAACTATTAAGTGGAATATGACAGAGTGACATATAATCAGCTGTTCTCTGTAAGACAAGTGGACTCCATATAGCAGTCAGTTCATCTGACTTGTTTGCCCTTTTCAGCTCTTCTCTGAAGTCAAGACTCAAATTTGGTTTGAAGCCCAAGCTCTGCCCTCAGTTGAAATCACAGGAAGACTTAGGGCAAAATTTCAGGACTGTAAACTGATTCATACATCTAAAAGATACTGTAGAAACTTTACTCTGAGTTGATGAAGTTGTATCTGTTCCATGGACGACCAATTGCAAAACAGATTCCTACAATCTTGGAATAGCACAATAGATCTTTCCTATTTGAATCCTAATAGCTTTCCTGAGAGTGATTAAATTGCTTTTATGCAATTTACTTGCTCTCCCATTTTTGGAACCAAAGATTCAGAGTTGGAAAGTATCTTACAAACTATCTAGTCCAGTGGTGGCGAACCTATGGCACAGGTGCCAGAGCGGCACTCAAAGCCCTCTCTGTGGGCACGCGTGCCGTCACCCCAGTCTTAGGCCTTCAGCTGGGTTTTATAAAGCCTTTTTGCTTTAGGCCTCCACCGCTGTGTGCAAAAAAAAAGAAAAAGTTCAATCAGTCAATTTCAACTTCTTGTGGGGAAAAAAAAGATCTTGCAAAGTTGGGATTGATTGAACTTTTTAGTCCCACTCAGTCTGTCCCACCACAGCCACGCCCACGCAATAGGTCACACCCACCCAGCACCCGAGGATGCATAAGTGGGTTTTGGGTTGCAGTTTGGGCACTCAGTCTTTAAAAGGTTCGCCATCACTGATCTAGTCCAACATGCTGCTTAATGCAAGATCCACTAGAACATTTCTAACAGATGACCATCCACCCTTTGTAAGAACCTTCAGAGAATGAGAATTCACCACTTCATGTGGCAGTCTGTTCCACTGACTGAGAACTCATTCCTACAGACATTTAGCTTGAATCTACTTCCCATGTAGTTTTAACCTGTTGGTTCTGGTCCTGTTTTCTGGGGCAGCAGGAAAATAAGGCCACTTCTTCTTTGTCAAGTGTTAAGTTATTTGAAAATATCTTTCGTGACTCATTTCAGGAGTTTCTTCTATGGGCTAAATAGACTCAGATCCTTGTTCTGGACCTGCTCCCTTGGGGAAAAATAAGTTTACTCCCCTTTCTTTGTTACGACAGATGATTCCTGTCATATCTCCCCTTAGCTATCTTTTCTGTAGGCTAAATATACTCCGATTCTTTACCTGTTCCTCATAGGACTTGGTTTCAGACCCTTCACCATTTGAGTCACTGTCCTGTGAACTTGCTCCTGTTTATCGATAGTCTTTTTTGGTACAGAGAACTGGACACACTATTCCAAGTGGAATCAGTGTGGAGTGAATTACATCCTGTAAGCTCATGTCTATTCTCCTGTTAATGCACCCTGCATAGCAGTTGCCTCAAAGTGCTGGCTCATATTTAACTTTAATACTGCCAGTCCAGTTCTCTCCTATCCTATGCCTGTGCCTTTCATTTTTCCTGCAGAGATGCCAGATTTTACATGTCTACCTGTTAAATTGCATAGTGGCCAAAATGTGGAAACCTTTTGGGAAAAGTGTACAGTAGAAATGCCACCTTTGTTAAGTTTCCACCAATTTTTCTTCTAATTTCTTTATAACAGTAACCTTGTTCACTTAATAATACTATTTTACATCACTTTCTGGGCAACCAGTCACCATTTGCACCATTACTTTAATTTTATTACATTTTACAAGCTCACTAAATGAAAGGGGAAAAAAAACCCAACCAAGTTGATAGTGATCACATAACACACTAACAAATGTCCTCCTCTCAGCTTCAATACATGACATCAATAACTGAATCCTACTGTGATCTGATTGGCTCATTGCCAAAACAAGATGACACCTGATTGACTCTCTAAACACTCATGCTCATTGGCTACAATCAGATGAAGGAAAGCTACCTGATACCAACCTAAGCAAGTTATGCTTCCTTTTGATGGCTATTTGGCTATAACTTTTCATAGAATACAGTACAGATAATTGAACAAACTATGTTGCATTGCATTCTTGATTAAATTATATTTCCATTGATATATATTTTTATGGTACTACTAAAAAAAAAGTGGTGTTATTAGCCATCAAACCTCAAAAATACACTTTTCCCAGAAGGTCTCCACAATTTTGGCCACTACTGTATACTAGCCTATCCATATCCCGCTGAATCTTCTCCCTTTCCACTAAAATATCAGTCACTCCTCCCAGATATCTTATCATCCTGATAATTTCCTCCAAGCTGAAATGGAGCCATTTACTCTTTAGTCAATTAAAAATGCTAGGTAGATAGGAATTGCATTGAACTAAATTTCAGAAGAAAGAAAAACCTGGACATAATACAAATAATTGTTGTATTTGCAAAACGGTGAAGCAATGGATATACTGTCTTCCCCCCCCCCCCATCTGATATCACAGAGAGCCGTTCATTGTTCTTTTTCACTGCAGGCTGGCAGCACTTCGTGGGATGGAGAGTTAAGCAAATATGCCGGTACTATCCTGTATCTACACGCTACTCAAAAAGACATTTCGGATTTCCACCAAGACTTGGTGTAAATATCACCTGCATGCTTCCCCGCAGGGCAACATTCTGGAAACCAAAAGTTCCTGGCACTTTCTGTCCACCCACCCCCTTAAAAAAAATTGGGAGGGTTCTTTTCTATTGCCTGAGAGTGTTGAAATTTTATTAAAATGTGCAGGCATGCCATGAGACCAGGTTTAGTACTATCCCTAGAATTCCGTCCATGAATTCAATAATTTTGACTTTTCTTTTTAACTGGGATTTCCTTAATGCTTTACTACATCCTGCCTATTGAATGTGATTCTTGCAATGGGCTTTGCCAAGGAATCGCATGCTACAATTTCTGCCGTTTTTAACTTCCATTTCTGCACTACGCCTCTAAACCAGTAGATGTTTCCCAGCAAACTGGCAAAACCTGCCAATTTGACTAGATACCTAATCTATATATACAGATAGTCCTCAACCTACGACCACAATGGAGCCCAAAATTTAGGTGGCTAAGTGAGAAACTTGTTAAATGAATCTTGCCCCATTTTACGACGTTTCTTGCCACGTTTGTTAAGTGAATCACTGCAGTTGTTAAATTAGTAACACGGTTGTAAAGTGAATCTGGCTTCCCCCTTGACCTTGCTTGTCAGAAGGCTGCAAAAGGTGATCACAGGACCTCGGGACACTGCAACCGTCATAAACGTGAACCAGTTGTCAAGCATCCAAATGTAAACCACATGGCCATTGGGGATGCTGCAACAGTCATAAGTGTGAAAAATGGTTATAAGTCACTTTTTTCAGTGCCGTTGTAACTTTGAACCATCACTAAACGAACTGTTGTAAGTCAAGGGCTACCTGTAGTTTGTTTAGGCCACTTAATGCGAGATGCTTTTGTTTCTAATTGTACTTTTAGCAGGTTTTTCCTTGAGTGTTCAATGCTGCTTTCCTTCCCTTGTTCACCTAGGCACTGGTTGGCTTACAGCAAGCTCTATCAGTTCTTGGAGTTCAACAGCAGCTGCCTGCTCCATCAGATTACCAGCATAGAATATCAATGGATTCAAGGCCGATTACGATCTGAGCAGGTAAGAAAGGAAGAGCTGGGGAACTACAGACAGTCCTCGACTTATAACACTTCACTTAGTGGCCGTTTGAAGTTACAGCGGCACTGAAAAAAGTGACTTATGACCAATTTTCACACTTACGCCTGTTGCAGCATCCCCGTGGTCATATGATTTACATTTGGATGCTTGACCACTGACTCACTTTTATGACATTTACGATGGTTGCAGTGTCCTAGGGCCACACAATCACCTTTTTCGACCTTCTGATAAGAAAAGTCAATGGGCAAACCAGATTCACTTAACAACTGTGTTACAAACTCAATAACTGCAATGATTCGCTTAACAAATGTGGCAAGAAAAATCGTAAAATAGGGCAAAACTCACTTAATAAGTTTCTGACTTAGCAACATAAATTTTGGGCTCAATTGTGGTCGTAAGTTGAGGACTGTCTGTATAGGGCTGGTGGAACATTCCCTGTCCAGGTAAAGACATCCTTGGTTCTAACATCAGATACGTATCCATTATGTGCGTTGTATAGTTTTGCAGTGCCCTGTCCAATAAACAGGATTGAAATACATCTCTCTTAGCATAATGTTAGTAGATCATGATCTTGAAATGATACAGATATTACCGAGCAGAACTAAGTCTTCTTACATCTACGGCATGTTGATTACTTCCTGCAGACAGCTGAATTGGAAGACTCTTTCCAGTCCTTACTGAACTATGGGATTTCTCTTCTTCAAAGGTTCCGGATCGTCTTCCCACTCTCCTCACCCAAATCTACACAGAGACTGCAGTCACTGCTTAGGTGAGCTATCAGAAACCTTCTGGGATGCACATAGTCAGAAGGAAAACTACCAATAGTTTTGAAGCATGGATATTCTCTCAGTAGCATTACTGTTTTGTTAAGTGGACATAAATGATGAATCATGATTTATATTTGAAATACTGATACTATATTTCCTTCACATAACACCTAAGACTTTGTAAACCTAATGCATTTATTATGATAGAAGCTTTCATGAACCAAAGCATTTATTATGATAGAAGCTTTCATGAACCAAAGCTTGTATGTTATGCCCCGATTCCCCCAAATAGTATCAAGAGATAGAAATGTATCCATCCCTTGGCACTTGTCAAGACCCCTGCAGGGGCTACTTTTTATTATATTAGTGGAAATGGTGAACAGAAAGCAAATGTGAAACAAAACAAAGCATCGGTCTTATTTGTCTGGATTTTGGTATTCTTTGCAAGATCAGTTCTAAACCTCCAGTCATATTAGCAGTCTTCCCTACCTCTGTCTTGTTTGAATGAAGGTCAAGTTTGGTGATCCCTGTCTTCCAAGAACCACTTTAAAATATGTGTTCAACAGTTCTGCCAGTTCTGTGAGACCAGAAGATGAAAAGAGAAAGAGCCTGATATCTCCTTGAGCATCAGGAAAAGAGAGAAGCTCGAAGCAGATAAGAAGTAGAGCAAAAGTCTCTCCAGAGCACTTCCTGGAAGTGTTTCCTACAGAAAAGATGAGAATGGCCTTGAAGGACAGGAGGAAGAACCTCAGTCAGGCAGGCAATGTTCAGATAAGAGAGTCTTGAGCCCAGATGAAGATAATAATAAGAAAATCTCTCAGATAAACATCTATGGAGATTTTCAGCCATCCAGGTCATGGTTGTCCCAAAGGTGCTTTTTTCGTGAGGCAACTGGACTTTCTTGTTTTTCTTTGAAGATGTTTCGCTTCTCATCCAAGAAGCTTCTTCAGGTCTCCACCATCCAGTCAGAGCTGAAAAAGCTTTTGGATGAGAAGTGAAACGTCTTCAAAGAAAGACAAGAAAGTCCAGTTGCCTCGTGAAAAAAGCACCTTTGGAACTCTGAGATAAACTCGTCCCAGTTTACATGAAGATAAAGTAAGGGAGAGAGGAACTACAGTCAGACTTTCATGATTCTGTTACTGTAGTTATTACAATAAAAGTAGTCTTGGCCTACCTGTCATTAGTTTCTTAGTTTGGTCTATGTTGTAAGGGCTGACAAATATTCACCTCCATGTCACTGGAAATCAGGCTGCTGTTTGATCTCTTTATAATATATCCTAAAGAAAGGGATCGAACAACAATGTTGGGGTCAACAGGAACATAAGAAGCTGCTTTATAGGGGGACACTGATATTTCTTAGTATTGTTCTGTGCTGTTTATCAACAAATGTTTGGGTCTTTAGAAGTCTTTTTCTTTTTCTCCTCAGCTCTCCCTAGAGTAGTCAGTGAATGGATTCAGGATCTTTGCATTTGAGACTGATTTAAAAAAAAGTAGCGGTAACTTTTTCATGTGGGACATGAAAAAGAGAAACAAAACGTTTCTCTGAATTGCATTGGATTTCAGTCATGATTTTTTCATCTTCACAGGGTTTTGGTTCAAATGTGTAAAATGAAAGCCTTCAAAGAACTTTGTACTCCGACTCCTGATCTTGAAGAAATGATAATAGAGGCACTTAAGGTACAAAGCCATCTTGTTATCTTTGTGCTGTCTTTTCTCAGCCCTACAGTTTTGCTCTTAGTGCTTTTTGAGGTCTTCAAGGGACAGGTAAAAAGAAACAGTTTTAAATTTTGTTTCTTTGTTAAAATCCATCATCTGGGTTTACACATGGTTCTCTTTATGGAGAAATGCACAGTTCTATTTTTCTTCAGCTACAGTTTATATTTCGCAGAATGCTCTGAAGATCTAGCTGTGATCTCAGGGCCTCTATTCTTGGACCTTATATAGAGATAGAGATAGATAGATAGATAGATAGATAGATAGATAGATAGATAGATAGATAGATAGATAGATAGATAGGTATAGATATGATTAATGTCTGCCTTTGTGTGTGTGTGTATGTTTTAATATGCAGACAAGCATAGGGAGGGCTATTGTGGAACTTATTCTCTTATTTATTTTCTCAGGCTGGAACAGCAGAGTGGTTTTACATGAAGAAGCAACACTTGAAGCCAATGGTAAAGGTAGGTCTTCATGACATTCTAGTAGAGTTTATGTTAGAATCTTCTAGGGATTGTTGAACTGTGTTTCCTATTGATTGTAGAAGGGCATAACATTAGCATTTGCAAAACGTCTGCTAGCCCAGCCAGGATAAAAATGCTCCTGTATTATATTGTGTATTTGCACAATCTATCATATTCATTTTTACAACAATTTTGGATAAAGACCATGGCAACATTTTTCTCCCAAACACACAGATATGGCTGCTGTAGCTTGACCTTAGATAAGGAATTAAATTTGTCAAAATCAAGACTTAGCTGCTACTTGTGTCCCCCTCATAAATGTACATGAGACATGTTATCATGAATATGCAACTGTATAGATATTTCCTAGAGTTATGAAACATACTTAGCAGTCCTGAACTATATTCTCACTAAAAGGGGAGAAAAACCATAGTTGTTTTAACAGTTGGTTGGAAAGCAACTCTGCAGAGTAAATGACAGAAACTTTATTTTACAGCACTGTATTACAAAAGAATAAAAAGACTAATTATTAGAGTATCAATCCCTAGTATGTGGAATGGCATATAATTCCTAATGTCAATAACAGAGAAAAAGCTTGGTCAAACTAGCATTGCTTGCTCACTTAATTAGAATCCAGGTAATTTGGCTCTAATCCCCACCCACCATTGCCATTTAAGCCTCTTGATGGCTTTTAATATTCTTGCTCTTCCTACTTTTCTCAGAACATGAAGCTTGAAGTTATATCAGAATGATGTCACCTAAAATCGAGAACTCCGTTTTTTGGACCAGGCCCTTCTGTAACATGGAAAATCAGTTTGTACTCGCTCAGGACGCCACTGAGTAAATTAAGCCAACTTCTCTAACATCAAGAATTACTAATGAGCAATGGCAACAATAGCAGTAATTGGCAGAAGAGTGAAACAGCCTCTTCTTGCCCTGGAGAAATAGTATAGAAATCTAGGAGAAGTTCATTAGTCTGAAAGTGTCTTGGTTCTGGGGAGACACAAAGGTCATGCTAGCTCTCTGCCCATGTTTCTCTTTTTTTTCTACCCATAGAATATGGAGGAATGTGGCAAAGCTCTGGTCTGTCTTCTTCTGGAGGTGAATGCAGATCTCCAAGAGTGCCACAAAACCTGGAACAAATATTTCATCAGGCAAGTCCCTGAAGGAAATTTTTCCTTCATTCCCAGCTTTGGCCAATTGGTCACAAACTGCTTCTTCAGATGTTTATGTAGCTTCTAAGGGCCACAGAGAGTTGCTACTAAAGTGAGTGGCTGAATCCAGATCACAGAAGTGATAAGAGAACAAGCTTAGCAAGTACAAAATTCCATTCTAATGATATGGTTGCTTGCTAGTTCTACCCAGAGGATCTGGATGCTGTGTACTTCGGTTATTTAAATGAATGCACATTGTAATACATGTGCCTGTTGGGCTTAAAGAAAGGAAGAAATAATAAAACTGGTTAGATCAGACCTCTGTGCGGTATTTACTGTACTAGAAATTTTCTTGTGGTTGGTTAGAGACTTTTGTCATTGTATTTCCCTGCTCAGCAACTATTTTTTTGTGGGTGGATTATTTTAATTGAGAAGACAAGCCTCTAGGTCTCTTCTTATCCTCCCAAGTAGGCTTGTCAGCAAGTCAAAGTTTCAACTTCCTGGTTGTCTTTCTTGTTGCCAATTATGAGAATTCAGCTAGCAATAGTGAGAATGCTGGTTCTGGGTTGCCTCTGGGCTGTTATAGTAACTAATCTGTTATATGTGGATGCATCAATTAAATTAGTGCTGTTAGTTTCAAATACGTGAGCAATTCGGAAATAAGCCTCTGTTTGGTTATCAATGACAGACACTCGCAGATACAGAATTTTTATTATACGTATTTAAAAATTACAACATTGCATTACTTTTCATAACGTCTTACAAGGTTTGAAATTCCTTAGTAGCAGTCGCTCGGCACCACATCTGAGCTATGGGGGAGGGTGATCAAAAACATCGCAGATACAGAACTTTTATTGTACACATTAGAAAGCTATAACATTACATTACTTTTCGACATAATCGCCATTCAAATTGAAGCGCTTGTCATAACATCTTACAAGGATTGAAATTCCTTAGTAGTAGTTGCTTGGCACCAAATCTATAGGAGGGTTGATCAAAAACATCCCAACGCAACTGCTTCAAAAGTTCTTGGGTGCATCTAGCGGTGTGCAGGCAAGCATTATCGTGAACCAACATCACACCGGAAGTGGTGCCATAGAAAATCCTGCCAAATGTGAAGATGCCAAAGAAGTACTGCTAGTGAAGTTCATGAAGCGTGGTTCGACCATCAGTTCAGACATCTACTGTGAAATGTTATGAAAACTCAGACGAGCCATCCATAGCAAGTGTTGAGGCATGCTAACTTTTGGTGTGGCATTGGTATAATGTGTATAATAAAAGTTCTGTATCTGAGTGATGGGGATTTTGCGTGCGTGATGGCGGCTACTTTGTAGCCGTCCTCCTGGGTAAGTGTAAGAACCGCTATGAACAGCAGATATCAGCTGTTCAGCGGTTCAAAATCCCCCTCCCGGGCAAAGGGGGGGGGTAGAGAGTGTCTGAATAGTGGTAGAGCCTCTTTCGCACCCCCCAAGTTTTTTTTTTGGGGGGGTGAAAGGAGTGCTCCCACGGAGTTCAGACTTGTCTCCGCTTCCCAGCTGTTTTTGTCCTCAGGGACAAAACGAGCCGCCGCAAACACCTCCGTGCTTAAAGAGAACTGGTGAGTTTTTTTTTTTAAATGGACAGAGCTGAGTAGAGGATTTAGTTTTTGCTTTCTTTGACTTATTTGGATTTTAAGTTTTAAGATTTGTTTCTATTTTTATTCTCTCTTTTTATTTTTTTTCTTTGTTGAAAGGGAAAGTAAAATGGCGATCGGCAAACTCCTCGGTGTTTTTTTTTCTGGAAGTTAGAATGCTGACCGGCAGGCTTTTTGGTGTTTTTCTTTCTTTCCTTTCCCTTTCTCTTTTTATTTCCTTATGATTGGAATGGTTGTTTTTGGTATCTCTAAGTATTTTTTTTGGAACGGACTTTTTTTATTTAATTATTTTTTTTTTTTTCTTCTCCCTTTTTTTTTCCTTTGAACTCCCTTTTTTTTTATTGTAATGACCCTTTTTTGAAGGACTTTTTTTCTGTTTAATTTTTTGTAATTTTTAAGAAGGAGTAAAACTTTTTTTTAATTCTTTTTCTCTTCCTTTTTTTCCCTTTTTTCTTTTTATTATAATGACCTTCTTTGGAGGGAGTTATGATTTTTGAAGGAATTTTTATAATTTCTTAAGAAGGACTAAAGGTTTTTCTTTAAGATGGCTCCAAAGCGTCCAGGGATTTCTACAGTTTCTAAATCAACAGTTTCACCCTCTTCTGGGGGTCAGCTAATAACTATGAAGGACTTGCAAGACATGATGGGAGATGTTATAATTCAAATTAGGGCAGAAATGAAAAAGATTTTAGAGGAAAACAATAAGATCTTGAGACAAGATTTTGTTTTGGCTTTAGAAGGTGTTGCTTCTGTTCTTGAAAAGGTGAACTCCCATGTGGAAGAGGTAGCTGAAAAAGTGGACATAATGGAGGGGAAAATTGAAAGTATGGAAAAAGAAATGGAAAATGAGATTCTTATGCTTCAATATGGACAAATGGAATATGCCTTAAGAATTAGAGGCCTGGGAGAGTCTTTGCAAGGAGATCTGAAGGAGATGGTTGCAAAGGACTTTGCATTGATTTTGAATAAAGAAAAAGAGGGAATACTTAATGAAATTGAAAAATTATTTAGGGTTAACTCTGTGGTGGCAGCACAGAAGAATCTGCCAAGAGATGTGGTAATTTACTTTGGTAAAAGATCTTTACGCAATGAAATTGTGCAAGCCTATTATAAGAAGAGATTTCAAATTGCTTCACAAGATGTTATAATTTTTAAAGAGATCCCATCTAAAATTTTAAGAAGAAGAAAGGAGTTTGCTTTTTTAGCAAATGAACTTAAAAAGAGAAAAATTTCATTCAGATGGGATGTTCCGATTGGAATGGTGGTGAATTACCTGGGGACATGTTATAGACTTAATACTGTTTCTCAAGCAAAAGATTTTTATACTTCGGTCCTGGGGGTATGTGCATCGCCATCAATTAAGTTTAAAGCTTTGGAAGAAAAGAATGTAGAATCACAGTTTGAAGAGCCTATATTTATGAAAACTGGAGAATCTTTGTGTGAGAGGCCTCAACAAGTCCAGGTTGAGGAGCAGAAGACAACTTGTGCAGTATATAATCCCAAAGAAAAGCAGCAACAGAAGAAGGTTAAGGAAGTTTCATATTTAGTGGTTTCTGAATCTCTGGGAGATGTTAGACCTACAAAGTCTTTGGAGCAATCTTTAAGGGTGGAATTGTTGCCTGAAATGGAAACTGGGAAATCTCAGTCTGAGGGGCATCAACAAGAGAGGAACGGGCAGAGGATAACTTGTACAACTTACAATTGTAAAGATCAATACAAGGAGGAATTTAAGGAACCCTTATTGGCTTCGGAGTCGATGGGAGATTCAGGAATTTTGGAGCAGTCTCCTAAGGCAGAACTTGCAGCATTTCTTACGAGTTTGATACAAGAATGGAGAAGGGAAATGGAAGAATGGAAGAATGGAGAATGGAAAAAACTGGAATGTGAATAATTAATAATACTAATATAATTGAGATTGATAAGGATGTAGTTTTTTACGGATGGAATTAGTTATTGGTGAAGATTGAAATGTTTAATGTGTTTATTAACTTTGTTGTTTTAAGTTTTGAACCTTTAATGATAATATTGTTTAAATTTGTGTTTTGAAGGGATTATAATTTGCTTATTTTAGTGAGTGGATTCTAATGTTTTAAATTTTAAAAATTTGTGGTTTTGGAGGGAGTTTATATAGAGTGATGATTGTATTTAGATTTGTTTAGGATTTAAAAGTGTTTTTAGTTTTTAAATATTATTATTAATATTTTTAAGACAAAATAATTTGTTTAATTAAATGTGCTTAGATTTGTTTAGGACTTATAGGTTTTTTAAGTTTTTGTTTTTTTTTTTTTTTTTTTTTTTTCTTTTTGGATAGGAGAGAAGATTATGAAGATTGAAGGAAATATGTACTTACTTTAAGTTCTTTAAGAGTATTTAGCTTTAATGGTATAACAAAGATTTGTATGTTTATTTTTTCGTTTTAGGATAAAGAAAGAGGGAGAAATTAGATTTTATATTATAGATATAGATATTCAAAGAAAGTAATGTTTAAATTTGTGTTTTTGGAGGGAGCTTATATAGAATGATGATTGTATTTAAATTTGTTTAGGTTTTAAAAGTGTTTTAAGTTTTTTTTTTTTTTTTAATTAAGCCTGTACTCAGCTCTGGGAAGTCCAGGGGAGGGTTTGGGAGGTTGGGAAGGGGGGGGGTGAGGTGGGGGGGGTATGGGAAGGGGATTTGTTTTTGTAAAATGTAAAAATTTTCAATTAAAAAAAAAAAAAAAAAGTTCTGTATCTGCGAGTATCTGTCATTGATAACCAAACAGAGGTTTATTTCCAAATTGCTTTCGTACATAATGATAAACCTAGCAGATAAAACCCATGAACAAATTTCTGATCGTGTCTTTCTCCTTCTTCCTCCAATGCAGCACCATGAGACTAGATCTCTTCTCAATTGCATATCTTAAAATGCAGGAACTGGTGAGTAGTTGTTCCACTGCTTTGTGTCAAAGAGGACCTCAGGCTTATATCCTATAGCAAGTTCAGAAGATACTGGGGTAAATGACTAGTGGAAGAATAAGCCAATTACTTCAGAATTTCTAAGGCAGCTTTCTCCAATAGTGATGCCATGCGGACTTACAGAATTCTCAGCAATGGTTATACAGTATATTGGCTGGAGAATTCTAGAAGCTAAGTCTATATATCTGGAGTACATCCGGAGTAAGGAAAAGAACAGGAACTCGTCTTTGTATGAGCCACTCTAATCAGTGGTGAGGATTCATCAGTTTCACTTTGATGATGAAACTAGTTCCTGAGCCAGTTTTTGCAGATTTCTACTCAGGACCGACTAGTGCAGTGTTTCTCAACCTTGACAATTTTAAGGCATGTGGACTTCAACTCCCAGAATTCCACAGCCAGCAATGCCTTAAAATTGTCAAGGTTGAGAAACACTGCACTAGTGGTATCTTTCTGATTCAGTTTCAGTGTATCAACCCAAAATGTGTAATATCCAGTCCAAAAACTTGATCCATTATACTTTTTTGTTTTAATGCTCCTGCAGGTTTCTCGTTATGTCAAAGAGCAGCTGAGCAAGATTGACAGCGGCATGTCCCAATTAACAGCAGAGAGCCTTTTCCAACTTTATCTCAGCATGAAGGAGCTCTATCGCATGAAGGATTTTGTGTGCAGCAGGTGTTTATCTCTGCAGAGAGCAACCCTTGGCCTTCAGTCTTTAGGCTGTTTTATACATTATGGCGGTTGTTTTGAGATTACTCTTATAAAGTATTGTTATCACTGAATCATCAGTGCCAAAACTAGGGCCTGATTTGTGAGCTTCACTAAAAAAATGTGGGTTTTTTGGGTTTGAGTTAGTGTGAGTTGCAAGCCCAGTTTAAGCATAGTGTGCTGTATAGACTAATTATGATTCATTTGGTAAAATACTGTTAAACAAGCAAAGGCTTAGCGTGTTGTGTGAACTCTTCTGTAGACGAATTGCTGACTGTTTATAACCAATGACGGTTTGTTGAGACAGGTTTGTGATTGATCATCACAACAAAAATATCCTCTCGAATAAAACTAAGTCGAATGTTTGGGAAATAAGAAGAACTAGTTCCTCGTGAGATTTCAAGCCACTTCTGTTTTGTATTTCCAGGGATACCCCTCTTGCATTGACTGGTTTCCACTTATGGTTTAAAGAAGCCATTCCCTTGTGGCTACAGAAGACCTACACAATAGCTCTAGAAAGGACCCAAAGAGCCATCCAAGTAGACCAGGTAATCCCACCCAGAAAGGAAAGCATTGCTCAATTGTTTTTATTTCCCAGTTTTTCCTGGATAATGTTTTTCTACTTTCATACACTTAATTGTTGATGTATAATATCTACCACTTTCATATCAGCCCCTGATACTACCATCACTTAATTTTGCTTGTGGATTAACAAATGAAAGTTGTGAATTACATTGTGTGTATAATTTTTTTACAGATAAGCAGGTATCTTAATGTGAATTATTTGCTAACATATCTTAATCCAGTCTGACACCTGTGGCTGGCAATTATGGAATTATCTGAATCTGAGTAATTATCCAGCAATGAATTCAGCAACTTGATCTTACATCAGATCCATGTAAGATTTATTGAGCTTATATCAGATCCCTTGAACTAGTTGCTGTCTTCACACATTAGCTAATGTGTGAAGACAGCTAATCATTTTATAATGCTTTCACAATGCCTGTGTTGTTCAGATAAAGACACTACTGCTACTTTGGTTAAGAGAACGGATGTTCATTCTTATGAGATACTTTTTAAAAAATGTTGTTTAACTCAGATAATTGTCAATGATTGTTTCTATTCTTTTATCTTGGCGGTTTTCAAATGACAAAAGAAAAGATGACATGTTGTTTAATAAAATATATATTAGTAAAAGGTAAAAAAGTGTAGAGAGAAATCTTAAGATCCTGGAAAAAAGACAAAATGCACAACTTTAACAATGGGCAGTGCAGGATATAAGAAAGAGATAGAAATAATGAATCAGAAATGGCCAACATTTTCTAGAATGTCTTGAAAATTTATTTCTTTGATTTTTTTCCCTCCCATTGAAACCCACTGAACAGAAAACAAATGGTACTCGCTTCAGGCTAGGCCACTTTGGGATCTGCAACTGCCTCCAACACACTTCCACAACACCATTTTGGGAGTTCTTACTACTCATGAAAATACTGTAGGAGGTATCCCTGGATCCCAGAATACTTTTCCCATGAACATACTGGAGGCCTTTGCAGCAGAGATGTTACCCTTTCAGGCATCTCTGCACAGAATTGCTATGCAACATTTCTAAAAACAAAACACTCCAAAAGTCTGATTGCTCCAGACTTACTCCAGATGTACTGAGCAAATTGTAGATACGATGTTCTGAGTCCAGTAATTGGAAGAAGGAAAATTCAGGTGTTAAAATCCCATTGTCTGTCTGGGATATTCAGGGTCCGATAAAACTCCAATCGAAGCCAAAAGCTCATCCTGTAACATTCCAGATTAAATTCTGACCCTAATAATCTGATGTTGCTCCCTTTCTCTGGTTTCATTTCTGTTCAGTTGACACCACTGGGAGACCTGAATAAACACAGTACATCCATTGTTGACCTATCCACTTGTTATGCTCAGATGGTGAAGACCTGGCAACAGCTGGATTGGCCTGATCCTGAGGAGGCCTTTATGATCATGGTGAAATTTGTCGAGGTATGTGCAGAATAAGGAAGCTCAGATCATTCTAATCTGTGCTAGAAGTCACTTCTATCTCACTGTTTATTAATCTGCAATAGTTTAAAGAAAAATCAGTGTAAAAACCACACTGGAAAATTGCAGATTGTACAAATACAATGTGCCGTACAACTTTTAAAGCAATTTGGATAAATGAGATCACCTTGAAAACTTTAAGGCTGAAGACTATATGGAAAGTTGAAAAGATTACTGTAAGTGTGACCAGCTCTGTGTCAAATTCATGTCTCTCCTATTGGTCAAGATTCCCCCCCCCCATGAGAGAATGTGCAGTTTGATCCAGATGGAGATAAATTCATCCATGAGTGAGAGGATGAACTTGTCTGCACTTAAGGAGGCAGTGGTGGTCCCTTCCTTTAGAAACCATCACTGGGTCCAATGATATTGGACAATTATCAGCCTGTCTTCAGTAGGAGGAAGGTGGTTGGACTGAAGGTACAGAAGACTCTGGACCACGTGGATTATCTGTATCCCTTTCTGTCAAGTTTCAGATCTGGTTATAGTGCTGAAACATTGATACTGCTTGTGGATTACCCCTGGCAAGATTGAATTGTAGTAATTGGTAGTAGTACAACCATTTTGACTGTCCTTTATCTGTCTTCAACTTTCAGTACTATCAATCATGATATCCTTCTTGATTGGCTCAGGGAGCAGGAACATTGCAGTGGGTCTTTCTTTCAAGTCACTTGCAATTAGCATTGGAAGGAGAGGTTTTGGTCCAAAGCCTCTGCTTTGTGGGATTCCTCAGGCGGTACTCGTTTCCCTCCTATTTAACACTTACATGAAGCTGCTGTGTGAAATCCTCCATTGGCACAGGATTGGTTTGCTGATGATGCCTTGTTATAGATCTCTACACCTGACTGATCACCTGAGACCACTAAGATTCTTTCTCTGTGTTTGGAAGCTGTGGGAATTGGAAGAGGAGAACAGGTTTAGGCTCAATGTAGCGAAGCCTAATGGTTGTGGTTTTAGATCTGGGTACTTGCCATCATTGTTTCTGGATGGGGTGGAATTGGTTGCAATTGGAGCAACTTTTGGACTCTCAACGTGTCTGAAGAACAGATTAAATCTGTGATTAGGAGTGTCTTTGCAGAAATTGCAAATATGTGTGCCAATTGCACCTCTTTCTAGATTGGGAGGCCTTGTTCATGGTCACTTACACCTTAGTCATCTCTTCTCCAAATTACTGCAATATGCTGTACGTAGGATTTGCTTTTGAAAACTTCTTGGAATTTGCAGCCGTTCCTGAATACAATGGCAGAAGTAGTTATGGGTGCAATTCAGTATGACCATGTAATACCACTACGTTGTGAGCTATGTTGGCTCTGTCAAAGGCTTCTGGGTGCATTTCGAAGTGTAGGTTTTTACCTACAAAACTTTTCGCGGTACAGAGTTGAGTTATTTGCAGAATTGCTTGTCTTCAGTTATTTCTGCTTGTCTCACAAGGGACAGCAGAGTAGGATTAGATGACCATTAGACATTAGAAAGAAGGAAGAATTGGTTTTGCAACCCAGATGTCATTAATATGCCTTTTACCATGCTTTCAAAAAAATTGTATTATTCTGCTGAATATTATGATTGTGCTCGAAATCTTCTATAATACTAGTAATAACTTTTCCTTCCAGGGACCACGTATTGCACAGGGAAGAGATCATTGGAATTATGTTTAATTAAAGACTCTTAATACATTCAGGGAATGTGCCAATCAAGCAATGACAAAAGGTTATGTTATTTGTCCTTCACTTTGTTTCCTTTTTCATTGAAGAACAAAAGGCAGATTCGTTTTCTTAGAGAAAAAAAAAAAGACTGTGCAGTTGCAGCATTAGAAGATTAGAACCTCTGAATTCAGGACCTGTTACATTCCAGTTGTATGACTCAGTCATCCCTGAGGTTTCCTTACAGAACAGTCACTGATGCTTCCTTACAAAAGAATCAACTCTGCTTGATTACATTGTACATTGTAGGGACCAAAGACGGTCAAGGGTCCTTGGAGGAGGCAGCGAAGCCCACCTACAGCATTGACTGATCAGTAACAGTTTTCTCTTTTCTGACTTCTTAGGATACGTGTAAACTTGCTCTGATGTACTGTCAGATGATCAAAGGAAGGGCAGAGGCACTGTCTTCCAATCAAAATGACGCAGGACAAGCAGCAAACAGGGTAAGTGGTAGAACCAGAGTTGGGCTATGAGAAACAAGGTTGAACACAAGGACTGACCTGATTCTACCTTCCTCCCATCCTCCAGCTCTGTGTTGTGGTGAACAACATTGAGCAGCTTCGGATGATGATCCTGAAGTTGCCCAATCAGCTGAACTGGGCAAGCTTGGAACAGAACGCCGGACCTGTCATTACCCCCGAGCAGATCCAGCACACGCTGCACCATCAGCTTCAGGCTTCTATTTCCTGCCTCAACAATGAGATCCGAAGAGTGGTGCAGACTCTGGGAATCAAAGTAACCTCACAGGCTCAGTCTTCCTCTTTTCCTCCAGCAGCATTAAAGGGTCAGGGGAAGAGCGTGACTAGAACGGTGAAAGTCCAGTGACAAAGTGCCATCCCACATTTGTTTGGTCTGCTTCCTATAAGGAACCACTGGCTCTTCAGAGACAAAACTCACTGAGTTTTTATGCCTCTGAGAAGTGGGGGTCAGTGGTATTGGAATGACAGACAGTGGAAAAAACACGAATGCCAAAACCAAAGGCACTTGTGAAAAAAAGAAAACAGCAGGATTGCTTCATTTTGGGGAATTACTGGCCAGAGCTGGTCATTGTTAGCATTTTCTGCATGCTAAATGTTCAAGGAGCCAATTAGCCACTGATGCCCTTTCCTACCTTACTCCATTCCCTCCTTTACCCATTACAGATCTTTAGGTTTTACACTACAGGTAGTCCTTGACTTATAACCATTTGTTTAGTGACCGTTTGAAGTTACAATGGTGCTGAAAAAAGTGACTTATGACCATAGATCACATTTATGACCGTTGCAGAAACCCCAGGGTCACATGATCAAAATTTGGATGCTTAGCGACAGGCATATATTTATGACGGTTGCACTATTCTGGAGTCACATGATCCCCCTTTGTAAGTTTCCCAGCTGCAATCTGACAAGCAAAGTCAGTGGGGGAAGGCAGATTCACCTAATGACCGCATGATTCATTTAACAGCTGCAGTGATTTGCTTAACAAACTATGACAAAAAAGGCATAAAATGGGGCAAAACTCACTTAAAAACCATCTTGCTTAGCAACAGAAATTTTGAGCTCAGCTGTGATTGTAATTTGAGGACTATCTGTACTAGAATATTTCATACAAGTTGCTGAATCCCCCAGCCTGTTTACATGAAACTCAACCCTACAGAAGAAATTCTGTCTGTAATGGTATATGTGATGTGTGACAATGGCATTGGACAGAACAGAGAGAAAACTCATACCTTCTATCTTAAACGTTCAAGGAGTTTAAATGTGTAAAATACGAATGGCCCAGCTTTAGATTGTTCCTGCAAAAATCTCTAAGATGCAGTATGGAATGCCTGAAATGATGTAGATATGAATGGCCTAGAACAGGGGTAGGCAACCTTGGCTCTTTTATGACTCGTGGACTTCAACTCCCAGAATTCCTGAGCCAGCAGGAAATTGGGAATTGAAGTCCACGAATCATAAAAGAGCCAAGGTTGCCTACCCCGGCCTAGAACTTTTAATATTTATACAATATTGTATTTCCACTTAATGGCATTAAAAACATGTGGAGTTTTCTTTCTTTCTTTCTTTTTTTGATAGATGGATGCTAGAATTGCCCAACACATCCAGGAACTGTCTGTTTGCAGTGACACCGATAACCCAGAGGATGTGAGTATTTAATTGCTCGCTAAATATTGTAGGTATCACTTTTTTCCTCTTGGTTTGTTCCTATATTAACTATTTGGGGGTGATTCACAAAAAGCCATAACCGTAACCGATATGCTACTCACATCTGTATCTACTTCTCTGTTCTTTCTCTCTCCATAAAATATTATTATTGTTAAGATATCCCATATTTTCCCTCTTTTATCTTCCTGGCTTTCAATCTGGTTACATATGGGGGAGAATCTGGTAAGACACTGATAAGAATCCAGACTTGGAGAAACCTATATATTCCACATGAGTTTGTGAAAAGGAGTTAAACAGTGTTCTACACTGCAACCATTTAAAAATGGTTTAAAAATATTTGTTGGAAATTTCCACAAAATTCTTTTATAACAGGATAATTGCACAATAAATATCTCGATCTGAAAGCATCCTGGATGAATTTGGGTCAGTAATCAGCATATAATCAACTTAAAATGTTATCCTGGTGATGATGTACTTTGTATTTCTTGTGTCATGTTCCTTGAAAGTTTCATATGTAATAATTTAGTTTCATAGCTGATGAATGTTATTTCCCGTCACTTAATTTTTGTAGATCTTTTTCTGCCTCTTCTAGTGCATCACACCTTTAATGAGATTCTTGATGTATGAGCTTCAGTATCTAAACATGAACCTTGTCCAGGAAAATTTTAACAGGTAAAGCAGGATGCTGGCGTGGTGAGAATCTTTTATTCAACTACATAAAAAGCAGTGTGTGGTTGCCCAACTATTGCTGAACATCTGCTCCAATCAGCCACAGACAACATGGTGATGTTAAGGAATGATGAGAGCTACATTCCAGCAATACAAACAGAACCACATGTTATGTGTTCCTAGACTAAAAGGATTTCACATAAGGAGGAAAATGGCTTTTGCAGAGATGTCTTGCCATGTTATGAATTAAGGATCATAGTTGGCACTAGTTAGGGCAGTGGTTCTCAACCTTTTTATACCGGCGACCCCGGTCATAAGGACGCGCCGCGCATGTGCGACGCCACCCCCATGCATGGCGCGCATGCATGGCCCTGCCCCATGCACAGCACACATGCATGGCGGCGCCCCCATGCGCAGCGCCGCCCCCATGCGCGGTGCGCATGCGCGGTGCCGCCAGCTGAGGAAAAAAATGGCGGATCGCGTTGTTTGGCGACCCCCATAAAATGGTCGTTTGACCCCAAATGGGGTCGCGACCCACAGGTTGAGAACCGCTGAGTTAGGGCATCTGCAGAAGGAAGAGCAAGGCTCTTATCTCTCTTAAGCCACAGTTTGGTGTAATTGGTCTACTATTTAAAAATAACAAATGCTGGGGGAAAGGGAGAAGGAAAGCATCTGAACAAGCCATAACAATTGAGGTCATCCAACTGAAGAAAGAGCCAGTTTGTGGAAATCAGGGTAAAGCACAGGAGGAATAGGATCAAAGGACAAGAGGGAAAAAAAGAGAACTCTGATTTCTAAATTGATAGATAGTACATTAGGAAATCATTGGTAGGATCCAAAAACCATCCTAGACGAAGAAGGCATTAACTGTGTTTATTTAGGACATGGTGGCCATTCTCCACGTTCTGACATTCACTTCTTTATCTATGCATCCTTGTCTCTGGGGCTTTTTAGGATGCGATGGGCATGAGAAACAAAATTAGTCAAAATGGAAAAGACACAGAGCTTCCTTGAGTCGAGACCAGCTTTTGGTGACCCCCTTAGCAACAATACCAATGTCTTTGGATGCATGTGTTTCTTTTCCTTTTCTTTCTCTGGTTCCTCCTTCTAATGTAAGTTTACCACATCAGTCACCCAGAATTGTTCGGAGTTGAGCATTCTTTAAATTCAATAAAGTCTTTAACTAAATAAAACAGTGCTTTTGAATTCTTCTGTGTAAATTCTCAATGGAACTTAAAGCCATGGTATGTCTTAATGGTGTCCTATTGAAAGGGACAAATACTAACCCAGTCTAGCCCTGTTTGGTTTTCTGAGATGAGCAAAAGTTGGCTAGGTACTAGCATTTGCTGTGAATGGAATGCAGGAAAAGAGAAGTATAAATATTGTAAATGGTTAAAACAAAGTACTGGCATCTTATTTTGTCCTTTGAATATTAATGTCCCTTTTCTGTGATTACTTTTCCTTTGGGTTTAGAATAACTGATGCTCTTTCATGGCCCACTAAAAATCTGCATGTTTTATTTTTAATATCAGTCTTTTGGCTGTCTTATGTTGTCCTCCTATGGAATATTTCTTAAACCTCTATGAATTAGAAACTTGGTAAACTGTTGGTTTGCTGCCTTATCTTCCTTAGTATTCATTTGCCCCCAATTAATCCTTCTTGAGACCGTGTGTGTGTGTGTGTGTGTGTATGTGTGTGTGTTAGAATATAGGTGGACCAATGGGTGTGAATTAGGGAGGAGGGATATAATTTAATTACTGTAGTTTTTTTAATGCAAACTTTTGATATCACATGTTTTAACCAATGCACACTGAAATTTAGCTATCTTTCCAAAGTCATTCTCTAAATTTTCCAAGGCGATTTATTTATGAAAATGTTACGCAGAAATGAGAACACTGGTTGCAAAATCTGCCCCCCTTAGATAAAACTGCAAACCAAAGTCATGCGTTTGAAGAAATGCATCCTGCCAAAATGATACATTTCTCAACACAAAATGAAGAAAATAGCTCAAATAGAGTGGGATAAAAGGAACTTTAAAATGCAATGAAGATAAAACAGATTTAAACATTACAGATCTTTAAACATTAGAAATAGAGAAAAAGTTGAATTTATAATCCACTCATCCTTAATTTGAGCAGCTTCGGTCCGGCTCCAGAGTCAAATGTATTAGACTTTGCTGAGCCTTAGTAAAATTGCCTTGTCTAGCAATCTGTTGTACAACTCTACTTCTTTTGGTTCTTCCCAAACAGTCTTCTGGAGCTTCTGTGGAATCACACCTTGGACTTGCTAAAAGACGCTACAAAACACCAAGTTGGAAAATTGGACTACTTTAGGAAATTCCAATTTGCCCTCCAGGTACCTAGGGGTGTAAAGTGAAACCAAGGAGGAAAGGCATGACTTATGGGGTGCTCCAGCACCCTGCTGCTTTCTCTCTTTTTCTCCATCTCTCCCACAGAGCTTGGAACTTTGCTTTTACGGAGAAGGCTGTGGACTATCCAAAGAGGCCCTTCACACACCAGCTTTTATAGTAAGCTACTGAAGCCCTTGCTACCTGTTGTGATTCCATGCCAGCCTGTGATCCCGGTAGTTGAGTCTGGGGAATCAGAGGAGGAGAAGGAGGAGGAGGAGGGGCCTGGAGAGCCATCAGAGTCAGAGGGAGACTCTGATGTGCTGCAGAACTTACAAACTAATGAAGAGGCTGGTTCTTCCACTCGTGATCAAGCTCAGAGCCAGCTGTGCTGGGAAGCTGAGTCAGATTTGGAGGAAGCACAGCTGGAAGACCTCAGAGACGCTCGTAAACGTAGACAGGTCACACGAGTAGGACAGAGGGAGGCAATGGGACGACTCCAGGGAAGGAGGAGAAAGCAGGGAGAAGCCATGCCTTGGGGGCTGTGTAACAAAAAGGGAATGTGTGGGCAGGGCTGGTTGTTGGAGGCAACCATTTGCAAAAAACTTCAATGTCAAGAGACCATGGTGTGTTTATTTTGCCTGTGACTCGTGCTCCGTTTTGTTTTTGGACAAGGTCTCCATTGGAAAAGTGTTCTGTTGCTTTTGTTTTTCTGGGACAATTATCAGGTCTGTAACTCAAATAAAAAGGGTTTATTTTCCAGTCTACTGTTAAAAGAGGGGTTGTCTTTGTGAAGTAACAAAGACGTACGTAGGTTGGGACAGAACACTACCCTTATAACAAGCCTGTACAACTTGCAAAGGAGAAAGAGCCACATCGATAGATTTAAAATCTTTCTGGCCCCCAAACAGTGGTGGGATTCAGCCGGTTCGCACCACTTCGGTAGAATCAGTAGCTAATTTTTTTTATTGCCCAGGCCCAGAATGGACTACTGGAAGCAGCACCCACGCAGAGAACCAGTTGTTCACATATTTGAATCCCACCACTGCCCCCAAAGTAATGCGGTAGCTAGCATGCTGATCAGCTGTTCCGTGGCTTAGTGAAATGGGCAACCCTGGAACTGGCAGCAGTGGTGAGACTTTGAGATATTCTGCAGTGTGCCTCTCAAGCCAGCAACAGTGGTGGTGGTTAATTTATTACTTTTTTAAAAAATGCCAATGAGCCATATGGGACTGCTTGGCTGGCCACATGTTGTACAGGCCTGCTTTACAGAAAAACGTCTGAGCAATAGGCACTCTAAGCATGCACAAACATTGGCTTTACATATCTAAATACATTTAAAAAAACAATAGGACATAACCTACCTTTTCTATCCATTCCTGCATCAACCTACCTTTGCATACAAAACCCCTACATGAACATCCCATATGTTCCCTGCTGACTCACATAACATAACCCCTTAAGGACCACAAATACTGCATCTGTTAGCCAGACATAAACAAGTTTTTTTAAAAAAATGCAGATTATGACTTACGCAAAAGTTGCCCACCTGTGTTGTGGTATCATACGTGCTGCCCCGTCAGAATATCCATCCTGTTCAAACTATGAATCTAGTTCACATGTGAAGTGGAAGGAAAGCTTTTGTGCGTTTTGAAGATGCCACTTCATTTTAAATAGTGTTAAGCCAGTGGTAATCTTCTGTGCATGGAACAGGGAGGTCATTTGTACTGTTCTCCTGTAGCTGTTGATTGAAATTATCAGAATCACTGGGTGAAAGTATTCACTTCACTCTGACGTTAAACATAAACGTGCTGATAAAATGGCTCTAGATCAGGGGGTCCCAAACTCTGCAGCTCATTGACCTCTTCATGAAGTTTCAGATTGTTCATCAAACCCCCAAAGATTTATTATATGAAAATAATTTAATAAACTCTACTTTAACTAATAGGGTACCTGTCTGGTATAGTAGTTATGACATCAGGGTGGATACTGGGAGATTGTAAGTTCTAGTCCAGCCTTAGGCATGAAGCCAGCTGGGTGACCTTGGACCAGTCATTCTATCTCAGCCCTAGGAAGAAGGAATTACTAAAAGCACTATGCATTCAACTGCAATTTTGTGTGTGGCCTGACATTGGACAAACAAGATCACAACGTCAAAAGTGTCTAATGTAGCAATACTTCCTATCTGGGAAAACTTCGATTTTTATTTCTCTCTCTTACTCATGTATTAATTATTTTATTCATAGTCTGGTGTTTCTGCTGAAACTCATTTCTCTCATAGGCTCTGGAGAAAGAGTTGGATCTTTGCTCCTCCACCAGCAGAAAACTTATTGAAAAGTATTTCAGTGCTCGAATCCAGCAGCAGGTGAGGCCGATCCTAGCTCTGGTTTAATAATATGATAATAGCAATAGTAATAGCACTTAGATTTACAGCACTCTCTGAGCTGTTTACAGAGTCAGTATGTTGCCCCTAACAATCTGGGTCCTCATTTTCCTGACCTCGGAAGGATGGGAGGCCGAGTCAACCTTGAGCCGGTCAGGATCGAACTCCTCGTGTGTGGGCAGAGTTAGTCTGCAATATTCCATTCTAACCACTGCACCATTATAGCTCCTTTTTATTTGTTCCTTCCTTTTGCTCATCTAATTGAGTTCAGTTGTTGATACAGCCATGACTATTGATTTACAGCATGGCAAACAATCTTTTCATAAATGGAGCAGCGCTTACTTTTTTTTTTTTTAGAAGTGGGAGGACCGCACTTATAGAAACTGGGGCAGGAGTTGTTGCTTTCTCTGGGTTTGGCAAGGTAGGCTGGAATAGTTTGTTTTTTAAACATGTTGAAAATTCTTGTAGAGTTTATACATTTAGTTGTTATTGATGTCTTACCTTTAACTGGTGGTAAACCATACCTCCGATTTTCAGAATAATGTGCAGCACACAAGCACAGACAAAAGTTAAGGTAACCACAATGGATGTTGGAACTTCAGGCTATCTACCACTGATTTACATCTTCAAATTTGAAGTGTTAGAATTGGCCAGAATCATCAAGAGCCAGAGCTGGTATTTGAAATTTCCATGAGAATTTTTTTTCTTTTAGAATTGTATTGCTTCCTATTCAAGCTTAGTATGCTGAAGCACTATAGAGTGATAAAAATTCTGCCATGATACTGGTGGAAACAATTTGGGCATTTTGGTCCTGCCATATTTCACAGTGAAGAAAATACTAACATTGAACAAAGTCCACTAGCACAGGGGTCTCCAACCCCTGGTCTGTGGACCAGTACTGGGCTGCGGCATGCCAGCAACCGGTCCACACAAACAAGCAAAGCCCCATCTGTGGGATGCAGGCAGCACACAGAACCAACCCCCTCCAGTCTGTGGAAAAACCTCTCTCCACGGAATCGTTCCCTGGTGCCCAAAAGGTTGGGGACTTCTGCACTAGCATACATTTTCCCACCCTTCTTAGTTTAAGTTTAGGGAGGAAGCTATGTAAAATTATATGAAAGTGATTGTTATGTTAGAAAATAACTTATCAGGAAGACATGTTTAATAAGACTGTCGACAAAATGAAATTTATTTCCAATTTAAAAATTGTTATTGGGCAGTTTATGTTAACATGTAAATTAAGAGAAGATGCACACATTTTCAAATATATATGAAAAAACTGCACTTTTTTCTGAAATTAGTTGCATAGATCAGAAGAAACTACTATCAAACAGTATTTACAGTCTGAGATACAGCAGTGGTTCAGGCTTCTTAAAATTTGATCACTATATTTAAAAATCACAGTGCTGTTTGATTTTGAAAAAGACCCACATGATCAGTGGCAAATGTTAAATATTTTTGTAGGAAATATATTAAATTTTTACTACTATTCAGGATGGAATTAAAATCTACCCATCACAGTTGATAATGCTCTGAAAGAAAAACATGCACAAATTGCTATATAGAAAAGGAAAAATACTTATTTAAGCAAAATGAAGTTTGGACAATGTGACCTTCCAGATATCAGATTCCCTCATCATAGTCCGTGCTGGCTATAAATAATGGATGCTGGAATTTAATCCTTTGATAATCGGCTAGCCAAAGAGGAATTAAGACATCCAATGATCAATAGTTTTAATATGGGAAATTATGCAGTTAATTATTTTGTACATTATTTAGGAACAGGTAATATGAGTTATAAAACTGAACAATGCAATGGTATCAGACTTTCTGATTTTGGATAGATGGTTTATCTTCTGGCTTCCTTAATACTTTGGCCTTTTTATCTTTGACAGCACATCATCATTTTCCCTGACAGTTTTTCTCATTGTTCTTCTCTTAGGAAGAGGCCACTCCTGAAAAATATGGTGCTGTGACTATCAAAGCTTTTTACCGTCACTCAGAACAAAAACTGTATGTTGAAGTACTCAATGCGGTTAATCTTCTTCCCATGGACTCGAATGGTAAGAGAACTTTTGGGTAAATTGCTGAATAATTTGAGATATATTGTTAGCCTCATTAGTGTGGGGCATGAAATTGATCCTTGCCTGCACTGTTGAGTTTAAAGATACACTTATTTAGCATATTGCTGTTTAGTTTTGAGTGTAGCCACCTATTGACATTTATGGACAGACTTGATTCAAATGGAACTGATTTTACTGTAGAATCTAGTCACAGGTCAAGAATTCAAAGACAGCAAAAATAGCTTTGAATTTTCTAGGATCACGTTAATCTGTTCTGCAGAGAATACCCCCACTCAGTCTAGATCATATATTTTACGAATGAACTATCACAGCCTTCTGTACTGTTATGTTTTTTTTGTATAGAAATAATTTAAAAAATGGTTATTACAAGGGTGCATGTGTGGTGGAGGTTGGTATACTATCGCTAGGTTTTTTGTCAATGTCAAGTTGCACGGTATATTGCTCTGTGCAAACACATACTGTAGATTTTCTCCTCTGCTGTGGCATTCTAGCCAGCAAGGAGCTGGATGTGTTAGCCATTGTCGGAGCACGAATGCAGTATTTTATCTTTCCCAATAAAATCAGTATTGGAGAAAATGAAGGAAAGTTTTAAAAATGAATGTTCAGCACATTCCTATCTCAGTCAATCTTAGCCACTAAAAATCAAAGGCAAAGAAAGCCACTTCCAACATTATATTTCTTAATTGTAGATGTGTCTATTCTAAGGATGTCAATACACGCAGTTAGGGAAAGATGCCAAGCTGTCAAAAGTCCTGTTGGTGCCTTCTTAAATGGAGAAAAGAATAGGCTGCCTGCATTTCATTCAGCTCTCCAGAAGAGGAGGATGTTGACTGAGTGCTGCTGAAACTCTGCAAATAGTGCATTTCTGGCTGTGCTTGTCTTTTTAAAAAGCTGCTATGAATCACACGTTGTGCTCCAGGAGCTTGGAATAATAGTGATGATGATGATGAAAAAGATCAAAAGGGGGAAAAAAGATCATGAAGGAAAAGAGGATTCGCTTATTTGAAAATACAAAGTTGAATTTAAGAATGATCAGAGTTTAGCAATACAGCACATACAACTTTCTCCAACTTCACATTATCCAAATATCTCGGCACTGCAATGAAGATAATTTGCCCCTGGCATAGAAGAAGATAGGAAATTGCAGTTCTCAATATTTGGGGAGCATCAGGTTGTGAAGATCTGGAATGTACGTAACGTTCAGGACTGTCATTATTAGTTAACAGGAGTGAGAAAGAATTTCCCCCGATTCTTGATTTAGATGTTAGAGGATTGTTGCATATCAACAGACAGCCCTACTCAAGAGTGACCAATAGAATGACTCAGAAAACAGTAGCTCCATCTACTCCATATCATACAGGAAAGGACTGGAGAAGAAAGTGATACTTGATATCTACAGACCCCTCACATCCTGTCATAAACTGTTTCAACTTCTCCCCTCAGAGTGCCACTACAGGGCATTGCATGCCAAAACAACTAGACACAAAGACAGTTTTTCCCTCCCATGCCATCACTCTGCTAAAGTATAGTTCCCATAGCACTATCTATGCCTACAGATATCTAACCATATCTACCGGTATTATCCTTCTCTTCTTTCCTATTACCTACTCCTATTGATATCTTATGACTATAACGTTGTTGGTTGTGTCTTATGATTTATGATTTATCACTTGTTGCTTGTATGTATACTGAAAGCATGTGCTCCAGAAACAAATTCTTTGGTTGTCCAATCATATTTGACCAATAACGAACTATTCCATTCCATTGAACTCAGTTTACAAACATTCTAATAAAACTGAACAATATAAGAACTTTACCTCTGTCCTAATCTTGTGTATTACAAGATGTTGAATAGAATGTGGCTTACTTTGGAAGCTTTTCTGAGAAACAAATGTTCATGATAGATGAATAGGTTTTGCATTGTTGCTCTGTTACTTCTTCTACACCTTCTCCTCTCCCCAATATAGGCTTAAGTGACCCCTTCATCCAACTCACTCTGGAGCCACATCATGAGTTCCCTGAGATTGCAACACGGACAACTGAGTGCATAAAGAACAATCTCCACCCTCTGTTTGATGAAGACTTTGAGTTGTATGTATGAAGAGCCACTCCTCTTTCCTGTACTACAGCCATCTTCCAAGATTACACAGCTATCTTACTTAGAGCATGAATTTAATATGTTCCTCACCTTCCTTTGGGTGACATTTTGTAGATATCACAGTTGTACTGTTAAGAAAGCTGCCTATGAGGTCGAGCTCTGTTCCCCACTGGAGGTGGAGGTGGGGATAATATACTAAGTTGTCCTATTTCTATTTGAAGACTTGCCGTATCATGACTTCACCATTGGCATATTGTTTTTCCCTACAGTTTGGTTCCTCCAGAAAAATGTCAGCAAGAGGGAGCATGTCTGCTGCTTACAGTGTTTGACTATGACACCTTGGGAAAAAATGACCTGGAAGGAGAAGCTTTCCTCCCACTCTGCAGGGTCTTGGGACTGAATGAGCCCGAAGAGTCAATCAACCCATCCAGAGTACCACAGATCCGTTTATCTTTAACTCATCCGGGAACTGCTGGTAACTATCTCTCTCATCCTTCATGCTATCCTCTGGAACGAAAACATTCTGGTTAACAATCCATCTCAAACAGGATCAAAAAACAATTTTATTTATTCTGTTGCACAAACCAGGCTATTAATAAGTCAGAATATTCATTATATTATTTATGTTTTGCTACAGAAAGGGAGAGAAGGCTGTGAATTAAAATAGAAGTGATTATAATTATAGCATGCTAAATTGAGGAATTAATTCATTAGTCATTTTAATCTAGCTGGTGGCTCTTCTACCTTTGTCAAGCAATGGTATAGATTTGCATGAAATATCTTTTGTTTTGAAACTTCCATAAAAAAATTGGGTAAAGTAAATGCCCTTCTACAATTATATAGGATGCTACATTTATAACACTATAAAATGTAGAATAGCAATTGGAGATGTACATTATCAAAAAAGAAGAAATATCAGATGAATTTCTTGCCCACAAAGATCTTACTGTACCACTTCTCTCAAGTAATTGTGAAGGTGGAAAAGAAACTGGCTGTAATATTTTAATATACTTCCAGTTTTTTTTAATACCACTAAATATTGAAATACTGAAATATTGAAAAGTGACATAGCATCAAGAGCCACACGTGTTTTGTATGTTCTGAGTAACCTGTTGTAATGATGAGATGAAACCTTAGAAAAGTTTGCCCTATAATGTCTTTAAAAAAGGTAGAGTTAAGAAAATTCTATTGGCCTGCTTTTCATCTGTTTTACTGAAAATGGACTATTCGCTCTTCCTGGATCTTGTTCTTGTTCCATCCACAGGGAAATTACATGCAATTCTCTTTTCGTTAATGGGTTAAAACCTGATTTAAGCTTTGCATTATTAAACTGAGAATGGATATTTTCTGAAGATTTCAGTAGATACCAGGTTTTAAATTCTTAGCACACCATGGGCTTGGAAAGATAAGCTGATTACCTATTGCCTCAGCAATTGCAGAAACAGTTTTGCCTTCTTTAGCAGCAGATAAAGTGATTTCCCATTGGTAGGGATTGGGATTTCATCTCTCCCTGACTCCTCTGGCCATGCTTTGTGAGTCTTGTGCCCACCACCTGCTTCTCCTCAATTGCTCTAGGGGGTCAGTTTTGCTGCTCTTTCTATATAATGAGCACATTTTCTTCTGTTGGCTGAGCATTGAAGAAGTGCTGATGTAAGGATGAAGCACATGATGAAATGAAGTGAGGATTAAGGCTTGCACTGGCCTTTAGAGAAAGATAAACTCGGGGCATGTTGCAAAAACGATTCCAAATTGCTGATTACTGTATTTTCTTTCTTTCTTTCTTAGCTCTTTCCTTCTTATCCAAGTGACTGTTACAAATCCCAGCCTGTATCAGTGGTTGCTTTTGAATTTTCTTAAAGTTCATAGAAAAAGTAGAGATTTCCTATGGTTCTTGACTCTGTGCATTTTAAGTTCCTTGCATTCAAGACATTAGATTAGCAATTAAATCTCACTTTATCCACCCCTTTAAAAAATGTACTTTAAGATTCTCCCAAGCTGAAACATGGATTAATTCAAGACTAAAGAGGATCAGAAGAAAATGTTTAGGGCTAGAGGAAGAAATCAAAACAACTTTTTTTAAAGAAAACCATGTCTTGTTTGCTATATGTATTATTCACTAATGTCCATTATTTTAATACACATTTTTCCACCACTAAATATTTCTAGTTTTTACTTCTACAGAAGTATTTTCCCCAAATTATCCCTCTCAATTTTTGTGATTGACATCCACGTAGAATATATGCTTTCACAAGGAACCTAGCATCCCCGATCAAAACAAATTGCACAAAAGTTGTATTACTTTAAAAGACTTTTCCATAGGAAGAAGAAAAAAGTAGGCAAATAGATACAGAATACATACAAACAGAAATTTGTAGTGAGTTAGGCATAATACTGAAGGCCAAATTGAGCAATGTTGTCCTCTTGGGATTGCACGGAAGAAGCCAAGTCATTTTTTCCACACAGAATCATAGGGCTGGCAGAGACCTTGGAGGTGGTCTTCTCCAACCCAAGGCAGGAAACCCTTTACTATTCCAGATAAATGGTTGTCCATTTTTTTCTTGAAAACCTCCAGGAATGGTACACCGACAGTTCCGTGAGACAAGCTGTTGCATTGACTAGCTGTTCTCACTGCCAGGAAATTCTTCTGATGAGCTTCCACACATGGCTTCTTGTCCTGCCTCAGGCACTTTGGAAAGTAGATCCCTTTTCCCCCATGACAACCTTTCAAGGTATTGAAAGGGGACTATCATGTCACTCCTAAGTGTTCTCTTCATTAGGGAAGACATACCTAGTTCCCTTAGATCAGTGGTTCTCAACCTTTCTAATGCCGTGACCCCATCATACAGTTCCCCATGTTGTGCTGACCCCCAAGTGGGTGTGGCCACCAATAAGAGGGAGTAGTACAGCTAGGGAAAAGGGAAAAAAATGGCGGACAGCGTGGTTTGGCGACCCCCGTGAAATGGTCATTCGACCCCAAATGGGGTCCCGACCCACAGGTTGAGAACCACTGCCTTAGATGTTCATTGTACAGTTTAGCCTCCAGGCCCTTTTTCATCTTTGTTGCTCTTTTCTGCCCTTTTTCTAAGGCCTCAGCATCTTTTTTTATCATGGTATACAATAAAAATTCTCTTCTAAAAGCCTTGCTCAGAAGCATCCAGGCCAGTGGTTCTCAACCTTTTTAATGCCGCGACCCCCAACCGGCTGTAAGTCGAGGACTACTCAACCGGTCATAAGTCGAGGACTACTCAACTGGTGCAGCACCATTTGCAGAATGGGATTTTTGGCGGGCTCAGCAGGGCAGAGACAGCCTGGACAATTCCTATTGGCTTTTGAAAGCCAATAGAATTAGACTCTATTCAAGAGAGTCTATTCTATTGGCTTTCAAAAGCCAATAGAATAAAAGGGAGTAGCACAGCTAAGGAAAAGGGGAAAAATGGCGGACTGTGTTGTTTGGCAACCCCCGTGAAATGGTCGTTCGACCCCAAATGGGGTCCCGACCCACAGGTTGAGAACCACTGATCTAGACAGCGTCTCTGTTGACAGCTGGGTAATGAACAATGGAACTTTGTTTGGCAGGAAAGTGACTTTGTATTAATTTTCTGAGAAAGGTATACTATAGTAGTACTGCTATACTTCCATGAAATGCAGATCATCTCTTCCCTCTTAGGCAATGACATCCTGAAGCTCCTGGGGACCCGGAAAGGAGACAAGGAAGCACAAGCCTTTGTGAAGCTACGCAGACAAAGAGCAAAGTATTCCAAGGAGCTGGCATGATGCAGTCAAGCAAAATGGGTTAAAGCACAGGTTGAACCAAGGTACAGCAGAAGTTCTGCTGCCATGGCAACAGCTGATCATATGGGAGTGTAGGAAGCCATGAGGCTCTTGTTCTTCCTCCTGTTGGCTTTGATGCAACAAACCAGACACTGGAGGCTCTTTATCTGTGCAAATTGAAACTGCCGGTTGTGTTTCAATGAACAACTGATGTATTTTCATCTAAGAGACAATAGCAAGGAGCCATCCCACCCAGCCCACTCCCCACTCAATATTCTTTCTTTGCTGCAGGAGTTTGAAAAGTACGAAAAGAAGGGGAACGTCGAAACCTGCTGCAGGCTGTCGTAAGCTGATCTATGCCCGTCATTATGTGTGCAATGCAGCTCTGCTGGGAAGAACCAGACTGCTTGAGTAGTGAAGCTTGTGATGAGCCTCTTGTGGACCTTCTGCAGGAAATTTTTACTCTGTGCTCCAGATGGCACAGGAAAGGGGCTCCGGAGGGAAAGAAAATAAACATTTTGGAAGAGGAAAAAAATGGGTGTGTTATCTATCCTGTTACAGAGTCTGGGACTGCCTTCTGCTTAAGCAGCTTGATTAAAAAAAAAAAAACCCTGAAAAACTGCTGGTAACAGTTCCCAGGTCTCTTTATATCCAGGGTACCGTTTTCATAATTGCAAAGGCAGCTCAGCAAAGTCTGAAAACCCCATGTGGTTGAAAGCAATGGATGAATGAATAATTATTGTACAATCCTCACCTCTACCAACAGTGCTGTTCTTGCTATAGCTGTAAGCTACTTTTCTCTTAGGGGATCACTGGGGCTGGAGATGACATGTGTTACAAAAGCAGAATTTCAGAGGACGAGGGCAACAAAATGTCTCGGCTTCCACAGCATGAAGGAAAAGTCATGCTGCTGTGAATTAGTCTCAGGTAAATAAATTCAGGGGCAGGAAAGAAGACAAGTAACAATGTTTCAGAAATACATTTCAGTTTTTTCAAAGTTTATAATTTTTCTGTGCCAGGACCCGTGTTCCCATGACGATATTACAGCTTCGTGTGCTCTTCCTTCTGAGAGGTCCCATTTTCATGTCCCCGGGTCCAAAGTTAAACAAGGTTTCCATAAAAAAAGAAAATTACTTAATAGACTAAGGTTCTCAGCTATTTTTTTTTCCCCTCTCCCATCAGAAACAGCAAGACTACAAAATGATTAAATAAAACTAGGGCACACTGTTTCACCGTGTGAGAAAGGAATCAAGGCCTCAGGAGTAGGGAAGAAGCGGGGGAAGGGGAAGTTCAAAGCCTCATGATGGCTGCTTCAAGTATGTTAAAGCCGTCATACTTCAAAGATTTTTCACAGGACTAGAAAACAGCATTGCATATTTGTAGCCTTAGATCAGTGTTTCTCAACCTTGACAATGTTAAGGCATGTGGACTTCAACTCCCAGAATTCCACAGCCAGCATTGCTGGCTGTGGAATTCTGGGAGTTGAAGTCCACATGCCTTAACATTGTCAAGGTTGAGAAACACTGCCTTAGATCCACTTCTCTTTATCCTCTCCACAAGAGTGTAGATGTGGCTACTCAGGCCTGGAATGCATTTAAGGGTATTTAAACATTCCTACCTATAATTAGAGCACATTTTTCACTAATAAGATTCAGGCAGGCTAAAATGTATTGCTCTAAACCACTTATCTAGGAAGTCACAGAAAGGCACTGGAGGCAGATTTGCTTCCAGAAAGACTTGCTGCCTAAATCGCTACAGATGCAACCAGAGCAGATGTTACTATTTTTCTGGGAATTGGCATAGCCTCACAGGCCTCTTCTGATTCGCAGGCAAGCAGAAGTGTGGAGAGCACAGCTGGGCCTCAGGGTTAGGAGTCAACCCCTTCACTTGCTAAATCTGCTCCTCATAAATAAATCTGCTTTCACGCTAAAGTCACAGCTGTGTATTGCAGATGTGCCTTCCATAACTCATATGCTGTGTGAAATGCTTATCTTTAGCTAGTTACCATCCCGAGTTTACTTGTAAATATAACGTGTTCCTGCTACTTAGTATTTTTCTGCCCTCAGTAAGACAGTATTTTTGCATCTTTGCCAACTGGGACATCCTTACTTAAAAGTTCAATCAGCGTCAATAGCTCTAAAACAAAAGTGTTATACTAGGGGTTTTATTTTCCATTTCCTTTTAAAATACAAGATATGTACCCCATGGGATCATTGTTTCAGAGAGATTTTCTTATCCAAACGAGAAACAGATGACCAAGGGTGGGAAAAAAAGCAGTGGGAGCAGCAGCAGCTTCTGATTTCTGCCAGCTTCCTCACTGAGTCTCTTGAGGAAATCTGGCAGAGAGCAGAGAGCACCAGAAATCTTTAATCCCTTCCCTACCTAGCAGGCAGATAATGGCTGTTGCTGGGTGGAGGAGGGACTGAGGGACTGTGAGATTGGCTGGGAAACTGTCACAGAATGTTGGAAATGAACATCATATGACCACAGTAGCAACCAGTACCACTGGAACAGCCAAAACATCCCCAAATTTCATTCCCTTAGAAGTCATGTGTCCCAGATTTTGGATGCATTCTGTAAGTAAGCCCATTTGGGGTATCTTGGTTCAAGAATTGCCCAAAATGCACCATTTTGCCCAGTTAAACATATAATGAATTTTAGTGGGATATAGATGGATTCACTGTATTGCAACCCATTGCATTATCATCTTTGGTCTGCCTTTCACTGCCGCAGACCTATTTCCAGGAGACTTCCCATTACTTACGATATGTGTATATGAAAAGTTAGGAATCTCCCTAGCGTCAATGTGATTCAACTTATGCTTAATATGATTTTATTTCAATTCAGCTGTCTGTTTACCTTGCATAGAGAAATCAATTTCAGGCTGCTTTGATTTAAACCACCATTCTGAATAATTTGGTGTCCTCCAAAACAATGGTGCATTCCAGATAATTTAAGAATAAATTAAATCATCTGTCCAATATAGTACTGTACCTCTTACTGACTGAAAATGTTATCAATATGTGTAACTGCTATGTCATCTTTAATCAATTACTGATTCCTAAGAAGACAGCTTTCTAATTCATGAATGCTTCGTTTATGCAGGAGTCTTTACAGGAAAAAACTGTCAAAAATATTTTGAAAAGCCAATTGTTTGATGTCTAAATGGGGAGAAAAATTCTAATGAACAGAAATTTTCCTCAGTCAAAGAAATGATGCTAATAATACAGTTCCATCTATAGATTGACCTGCCATGGATTTAATCCTAACTATCAAGCCGATCATTTGTTCTCTCTGCAGCAATTCCTTTAAAAAATTAATGCAACATTCAGTGCAGGTGATTTTAGGAATAAACTATTTTTGCCAAAACATCAGCATTTTCAGCTAATTTTTGGAAGGGGAAACCATGGAAGAGATGGAAAATTCCCTTCTCCTCTGCTCCCCCCCCCCCCCTCCAAGAATTTCCCAGAGTTTTGAGAAGACTTGCAATAAGAACTTTGCTCCTCTAAGAGCTTGGCTATCTCATTTTCACAACCACCTTGAACCAATAATTTTCCCTTTTTTTTAAAAGGTCAGTTGAATTTCTTTTCCTCAGCCATATAACCTCCAGATACGTTAGGATTACAAGTTCCAGAAACACCAGGAAATGCAATCATGCCAGATTGGTGTAGTGGTTAAGGCAGTAGGCTAAAAACCTGGAGACTATGAGTTCTAAACCCGCCTTAGGCATTAAAGTCAACTGGCTGACTTTGGGACAGTACTTGCTGTCAGCCAAACCCGCTTCACCAGATTGTTGTTGTGGGGAAAAGGAGGAAGGAATATTAGGTATGTTTGCCACCTCAAGTTACTTATAAAGTAATAAAGGCAGAATAAATAAAAATTTAATAAATGAATGAATGTTCCCTATCATTTGCAATAGCACTAAGAAAAGGTTAGGGACCAAAATGACTGATATCCAGCTACTTAAGAAATGGAGTCAATACAGTCCTGCTTCTTTCACCTTGAGAATTTACTTTAAGAATTGCAATTGCTCAGTAGAAAATAAGCAAAGCCATGGTACTCCGACCTGCTATAGTCCTAGCTTTGAGAATGTGAAACTATTATAGAAACAACTCAATAATTTCATACTAATTTTATAGTGTCTTGTGGTATTTTTGATTGGCCCTCTCCTGAGCTATCCATCTTACAAACCCTATTCCATGAGCTATATTTACTAATGCAGAGTGAATGTCCCACAGTCCAATTAGCCACCAGCTATTCTTAGCCTTGTATGAAATGGGACCATATTCATCCAAAGATAAGCACCTCAAATTATATCATCACACCAAGGAAGACAAACCGGAGTCACTATAGACAGAAATAAAAGACAATCTGGACAAGTGCAAGTACAAATATCATTAGGGAGTGTAGCTCAATCCAGAGAAAATGACTGTACTGCACCTAATTTTACTGACTCTCAAGTTATTTATGACTGATTTATTCTGCTATCAATAAATCTCAGTATGATTAAATTTATGATTGCTAAATTTCCGTGATGGTGCCTTCAGTTTTAAATCCCCGATCTTAAAATTAGCAGCAATTATTTAAGTAAGAATTGTCCAGCTCCTATGAAGAGACAGATATTACAGTGCAGTAATCTGTTTATTAAACAGGCCTGCCTTTTGTTTTCTTTTTTTCAAAAGTGATGGGCAGATAGATGGGATACCAGTTTGGAATGAAGAAATGTGAAAAATTCCTAGCTAATATTGTTAGCAGACTTCTCCACTATTTACAATTGGATGTTGGAAAAACTGCTTGAGTAAACTTCCGGAAAGCCAGCATCTCCACTTACCATTCTAAGTCCTTCAAGCTAAGTCTTCAACAGCCTGCAATTGTCTCATCTTCAGCCATTACAAAGATTCACTAGAGTCCACTAGTGAAGGGGAGTGCCAAAATTGCTGTCCCTGTCCATATCTCATTTTTATGGCAGGGGAAAAAAGGGGAAAAAAGCCAAAGCCATTGCTATTGGACCAACTTCAACCAAAGACCTGACTGAAGGCACAAAGCTGCTACAATGAAGCCCAAAACCAGCCCACTCCCAAACCTAAAGAACTTCTAATGTCTCAAATAGCAAAATTAAAATGTGTGATTTGAGATTTTAGGCAGTTGGATGAAAGAAAATCAGCTTGCCTACAGAATCAGCTAGTACAGAATCTGCTGCACTCCGGGAGCAGTACCAAAGTTATTACTGTGTGAAGAAAAAAAAAGAGGTACTCACTACAAAGCACCAAGAAGGAAGACTTTCTTAGATCTAGAATTGTTTTCCCTGTGGACTCTTAGGAATGGGAATACTGGCAGTAACGACCTTTTTTTTAGAATGAGAATTTAGGATTTGAGAAAAAGCTCAAGTCTCTTTTAATTTTGTCTTTATACCATAAACATATTTTTTTTAGAAAACTTCCTAAAATCCTATCATCTGTATTATACAGAATGGGGAATGAATTATAGAATACAATATTAACTCATTTTAGTATACGAATACAATATTAACTCATTTTACTGTACACTGTCTTCAGAAGTCTCCAAAACTGTATTATGGTTTCCATAGTATCAAAAACTAAAAAGGCGATAGGTAGGTTTCTTGGCATACAACCCACAAAATACTCTTCAGCCACAAGCTCTGTCAAGCTTTGCCATCGCTTACTATCTTTTTACTTCTATGAAGTTTGAATAGAAAAAACCGTTCTAGTGAGATACTTTATCAGTGATGTGCAGGGAATAGTTCCTTACTTCCCTACCTTCTAAACGTGAAGTAAATATTCTCTTAAAATCCAAGGGACATTACATGTACATTCTAATACAGACAAACATGTGCACAAACAAAATGGCTACCTTTTTTTTTCTTAGCAAAAAAATAAAAAAATTTATTGTCTTCTAAAAAAAATCCATCCTGCCTTTGGAAATTGTGACATAAGATTGCAGCATTTTGTTTCAGCTCCACATGCAAATTCACTTTGCCAAGAAAGTGTGTCTAAAATTAGGTTTCTGGACAGCCAAACACACATATATACAGAGTACGAGAAAGAACAATAGCTGAAATCACAGTTCCGCATTACAGTCTATAATAATGTAATCAAACACCACATTGTACACACCATCTATTATTATTATCTTTTGGCTGATTTCTACACAGATAGGAATGGCTCTCCCTCCACCAGCCACCCTCCCAGCCATGGAAAATCCAAGGAAAGAGACTGGTCAAGAAGCACCACCAAAAATACTGCAGTGTGTAGTTTTTAAGAATTTATATTGTATTATTTACATTCTGTTTAAAACACTGGAAGCTACAAAGTGGGGAAGCCCCATAGAGATTTTTGATCCATAGTTACCAGATTTGAGGGAACACTTCACTTATAATACTTTTCACTAGAAACATCTATGTTCTCATTGCATTACTCCAAAGGTTGATATATTGGGGGGGGGGGAATTAAAAATTATGATGAAGAAACTCCCTCACACACACTGGTCATAAAAAGAAGAAATGTATTGCCTATATTTAGAAAATAGTTGCAAGGCTTCTATGTGGAGTCTCTGTTCTGCTCTGTCTTTATGACTGAACTGTGATTTAATAAAACAAGGTGACCCACATTAGCTTTGAGCTTGTGTATTTCTCTTCAAAGGTTCTACTTTGAGTTTTGATTAATTACATTTTTGTATTATGTCTAAATACGAATCTGCAATTAACCTTAGTGAAAAAAATGAATTAGTTTCTCAAGCTATGTTTGAGTGATGGTTTGTTTCCATTAACCACAATTAACACTAAAGGCAGTTGTAGAAGTTCAAACAGCACAGCAAGCTGTGAGTGTTTCAAATGGATGTAGATGAGGTCAACTTCCTTTTCATAGTTGCACTGGAGAAGAGGAAGAGGAAAGGGTATGCACCTCTTGGATTTATTAAACCATGGATGAATTGCAGCATTGAACATAGGCAAGGGAGCCACTATTTCTTCTTTTGGAACCCTGCAGATAGGGAGCAATGCTTGACTGAAAGGTGCAATCCCTCATCTTCACGAAACCATTCATCTTAAAAGGAAGGAACACATGTGGGCACTTAGAGGCTTCCCTATTAATTCTTCAATTAATCAATTATCCTATACCTCCTATAGTAGGTTTACTGACCTACAGTATTCATTTTTCTCATATTCAGAGCAAGACGAAAATGTCTAGTTTGGATTGGTGAATAGTATTAATAGCTGGACCTCCAACTCCATAAGACCTTTGGAGAGTGGAAATGCATTACATTTTTCTAGTAAAGACTTTGCTCAAAAACCAGAGTTGGGAGATGAGAGGCTTTATACTCAACTGTGTGGGGAATTCCATAATCCAAACACAATTCCTTCGGCATTTTATTAGGGTTGATTTACTCACAAACCCAATTTTTGACAGGCAGAAACTATAGAATCTGTTGGTTTAAAATAGAGGAACTGCGCAGATCCTCTAATGGACAATTGCTGGCAGGATACAGCAGACTTGCTCTCAAGCACCCCAGTAAACAAAACTGCCTATACAGAAATTTAATACAGAATTAAATCTTTAAAAAACAGAGAAGCCATTTTTGCTTTTCCACTTGATAACTAATAAAACATTCACATTTCAGGTATTTCATTTTCAATATTAAAATTCATAGAAATCTAGCATTTTTTTAAAAAAGTGCTTTTTAAAAGAGTGGGATAGAGATATATTTGTCCTTCTGATTATTAGATAAAACCAATCTACTGTTATATTCTCTTGCCCAAGTATAATACTGATATCTATGAGGCAGGTGAAGGGGACATAATTGGATAAGAATCTGTTAAGCTATTTATAAGAATGGGGAAATTTTCAAATTTTCTGGTATTCTTTGGTCCTTCAAAATAAGACAGACAGAGTAAGTTGTGGCATGGATGTAAATAGCCGGCTTCACACACAATTTCTTTTTCATATTCCACCAGCAACTTGCTAATGGAGTTGGGGATAGGAATAGGGTAATCAACAATATTGTATAGAGTTGTCAGTTCTTGGGAAAAAAATTTTTTTTAAAAAAAATCTAAATTTAAGTGACACCAAGTGTATTGGTGATACATTTTTCCCAAAGAATTCTGCTGAATTTAATAAAATTATGGCAGTTCAGGGTAAATCAGATCATCCCACAAAGTCAACAATTCACTATGGACAATCACATAGAAAGGCAGAGGAAGCAATAAAACACAATGTTTACAAAAGTAAGTGTTACAAATCAGTCACCACCAGAGCATCTGCAAATGGCTGCAATTCTGTATAAACACTATAGACCCGATTCAAAGATTTTATTTCCTATTATTTTTAAATTAGTTACCAAAATAGTTTAGTACATTTCCAGCAGAGTATTATTCCCCATAATTTAAATGTATGTGTATCTGTATGTATTTTTTTTAAAAAAATGTTCACATATTTTAAACAAACAAGCTTTCTTTAAGACTGAAGCATGTGTCCTGACCACAGAGACCAGGGATGCCTCATGGCACAGACATTCAAAGGCTATAACCAAAAACAACACAGCTACAAGAGTCAGCCAGCAGTGTCTCTCCATACATAAAAAAGCCAATTAAGTGTTTTTTTTTAAAAAATGAAGAAAACAACAGATACTAGTACAACATACACATTGAAAAAAGCAGTTTTATCAAACATAAAAGTTAATTAAAAAAAAAACCTAACCAGAGCTGCACTTTGAGATTATCTGGGAATGCATATTTAACCCCCACAAATATAGAAGGGTGGAATTATGGAAGCAAATCTAATGTACTTGAATTACGTATGAAAAAGCTATCTTGATGGTGAATGGCTGGATCCCTCTTATGAAGACAGAGTTTCCAGTGCTTTTTCAGGTTAGGGAAAAGTGGGTCAGCTACTGCAAACAAAGCAAAGACTGGTGAGCAAGGGAGTGAGATTAAATTCTAAATATTACACTTTTACACATGAAACAACTCCCAGTGCAAAGTGGCAGATTAGAGTCCTTCTAGACTGGACTGTTGCTTTTTATTGTCTGGAAGCTGTTGCGCTGTCTGAATAAGAACGAACTGCAGTGAGAGCTCTACCACTCAGGGACAGTAGGACAACACATTCACTGGATACAAGTTTTAAAACAGAAATATTCCAAACCTTAAATTTCAATGAAAGTCAGTTGGATTTAGGCCCCAGTATCATTATTTAGAACTTTAACACACATAATTGAACCATCAACATAATCAGTGAGTTGACGTTCCTTTGTAAAACACTCTGGAGAGAGTGCAAATGAATTCTCAAAGGAAGTGATTCGCTGGTGCTGCAATCTGAAGCACATTTACTAAGAAGCAAATTCCAGTGAGTTCAGTTGGGCTAAATTCTGTGTAAACATGCTTAGAATTACTCCACGTTTTTTTTAAAAAACTGATTTCAATAAGTTTTTGACTCATGCTGGCCCACAAAAGCATGAGAAATAAATGACTACACCTGCAAACCCAGCTGACTGTTGCCTGGGACTCAAGACAATTAGTTACTGTCCATCTGTTTTAACAACAAGCCAAATTTACGTATTCCTCTGGACTGGATGCACTGCATCCAGAAAGTGGATGATAAAAATGGTCATTTCAATCTAAGACACAAGATTGCCCATATTGTTTGGTTTATATAGTTCTCTAGTAAGTCCATGCCAAGCACCATGTTTAGAGATTCAGACATTTTAGTCATTTGGGGATGACATACACTATCTTCATTGAAGTTGTTTGATGGCAGGTACCCAGCCAAGAAGGGAATTTGCACTTACGTCAAGTTAACCAGGGAAGTTAATGGTGATGCTAAACTAAGGGTGAAGTTAGGAGATACTTTGTGAAGAAAAGCAGAGCAGTAGGAAAGAAAACATTTCTCATTGGCGGTATAAATGCCAAAACAGAAGTGCAGGAGAGCAAAGACCCATCTCCTCTCCTCTCTAGAATCATTCTTTGGATTCTCCAAACACAGGGTATCCTGTGCAGGCTCAAAATATATTCCCATACGCAAGAGAATGGTCACAAGAAGGTGACTAGTGAAACATGGGATTAACATAATTGATCCCTGAAGAACACCTAATGTAGATGCTCAAGGAAAGCTTAGAAACTTGAAGGAAATGAGAAAATTTCCTAGTAATAAGGAAAAAGGAATGTATTTTGGAACTGAAGCAGTGTGGATTCTGAGCACAATTTTCCCTTCTCTTCTCTTACATGTGGTGAAATGTGGCCTTGTGGTATTCATGATAAATCTATCACAAGAACTTTAATTACTAAACAGCTAACTAATCTTACGGGAGGATATTATAACATCTTACATTCTTCATCCATTTTTATCCTGCACTGTTGCAATAATCTCTTCTAGCTATTTATGTTCAGTATGAAACATTTTGAGAACTTGCATCCTGCAACCAAACACATACAAAGGCTTCTAAGCATTTGAAAAAGTGTATTTTTTCTGTTTTTTTTTCCCACCACAATCTCTGTGTTTTTGCAGAAATTATTAGTTTAACGAATCCAAGTTTAGTTCATTTGGCAACTCTAACAAAAGTCCTCAGCTATGCTATGTAAACTTTATCAGATGCTTTCTTGTATTAAACGTGGATAAAGATAGGAAAAGAAACCACTTTGCCTTATGATAGGCAGATATAAATATAGCAAGTAACTATCTTCTCTATGACATTCTGCCTATATTTGTGTTGGTGACAACTTACCAACAATATGAAGTGCTGCACAGTTCAGGAAAGGTGATTTTGTGCTGCGAATCTGCATATTCCCCATTTCTGAATGCACAAAGAGCCATCCTTCTCTGAACTATAGAATAGTTTGCTTTTAAATACAACACTTGTAACAGCACCATTCATAGATAAGAATGATAAAGGAAATGTGTTGATTTGTTTCTGTCTACTGACAAGAAATACCAAGTATTCAATACTAAACAAGTTGGATAACCGAGCCAAGCACAGCCCACTATGTATTGCAATCTGTAATTTGATTTTTTTTTTAAACCAGAATGCTCAATTTCTGCAGGTAAGCAAAAGCTAGGAAATTTAATGGATTGTAATTTGTTTGGTGAGTTACAAATGTCTCTTAGACAGACCAAAAAGAACTCCAAGTGGCTCCACCGTCAAAGCCTGATTCTGAAGCCCTTCTCCACTTCCATGATAATGCAGATTACAAATTTGAACTTTTCTCTTTACAAAGTCCCACTCAGATGTTTCTCAAAGTCTTACTGCAGAGTAGTGGCGATGACAAAAAGTATCTTAACATTGGCCTTACCTCTACAGTGTGTTTTGTGTTTTTATTCCTCAGACAGAATTAAAGAAGTATGCAAAATGACTTTCAAAAGAGGAGCTTTTGGTTTTCCAAGAGACAAGTCAAGAAACTTTCACGATACTGGAGGCCACGAGAATGCTGAATAATTGAGGCTCATAAGCAGGGACTACTGACTGGCATGGGTAAAATTATTATGGCTACACAAAGCCTGTGAAAGCAGTGTTTCAGAAAGCACACAGCATGAAGAAAGCACTGCTCTTCCAATTGTTAAAGCAAATTAATCTTTTGCAAGATTTACCCAGAAGCTTTGAAAGCCATTCCTGAAGTGAGCATTGCAAAAGCTGCTTTAGCAATTCAAAGAAAAATGTCTTGCCTTTTTGGGGCATTACAAAAGAGTTGCTTCAAAGGCTTTGCACACCTGTAATGGTTGTGATACAAATAAAAATACTAAAATACTATAGGATGAAAGAAGGAAATGAAGACATGAATCGAAAATTGATTTCTATCTTTTCTCTTCCCCCAAAGCCCAATCCTTAGGTTGGAAATCACTTGCAAACTCTCTTCGTCCTCCCTCTAAATATCTCTCCAGAAAAGGCTAAAAAAAGATTATTTCCTAAATAAAAAAGGGAGGGAGGAGAAACAGATTTTGCAAATGGCTCTTCGATCTATATTAAAAAACTGCTCTAAAAGTCCCTAATGAATTAGAATTAATGGGACCGTGGGGATGGGGAGCAGGGATCCTTTAAATGGGAGATGCAAAGTATTTAAAAAGTGCTCTGCAACTAATATTTTGTTTTTATGTGTGTGTGTGTGCATATGTACATATATACACACACATTCACACACAGATATATATAGACATATATATATATATATCTGAGAAAAGTTTAAAAATTCTATGTGATATGCTAAACAAATGTCCTAGTACAGTCACGATTGGAGAGCAAGTGGCCTGTTGGGATGGCAGATGGGGCATTCACCCTCCTCGGCACAGGTTTCACACAGCACAGTGTGTTGGCACGGTAGTACCACCCGGTTCTCTTCCTGGCACTTGAGGCATTTCACCGACTGCATTTGAAACACTGCCTGAAAAGAGAAGAAGTGGGGTGGGGGAGAAAGGAGAAGCAAGGGGGATTGTTAGTAAAACAGGACAACTGTTCTATGCTCAATAGGCAACTCCTGAAGGAGCAGTCCAAGGGGCTGCGGGAGGGGGATTTAAAAGAGAAGGACGTTTCATTAGCCCATTCTTCTATGTAGCAGTCCAGTCGTGTATTCCTCTAGCTGGAGTAGATAATTTCCTCCTCCTCCTCCTTCTCTATCCTCTTTCTGGAACTTATTTTGCAGTTTAGCAGAGCTGTCAAATAAATGGACTAACCCCTTGATCCAGGAAACTATTAGATGAAAAATGGTCTGGTTTGGAACCATAAAGAATATGAGGGATGGGCAATCCATAGCCACTTTGGCACTCCATCGTAACCCCTAAAATAAGGTGAAAATTGCTGGGTTTGTACGATGCAGTTTTTGCTTGATTTGGGGAGCTTTCTGCTGTCTGAGTGAAAATGGGAGTACAAGCGCGTGACACACACACACACACACACACACACACACGGTTAAATGTCACCACTGAAAAGCCACCAGCAGCTTGAGAGACTGAGTTACCACTCCATGATGCAGAATAGGTTACCAACTACTGCCAAGCATAAAAGCAGACTGGCAGACTGTTTTTAATCAGCAGATGACTGAATTTATCCTCATCCTCCTCAACTCCAAACAAAATAAACTAAAGGCTTGAGGGGAAGCACATGCAAAGAAAATGTATACTTTATCTTTTGACTATTTACAGTTTGGGGTGAAAGAGGTTCATACCTTTTCACATGATTTTCCTACAGTATTTACACTAACTAGACATTTCACATTACTAAAATATAATATAACTGGAGACAGAGAAATTTTTTTGTAAGGATAATATTTTTTTTCTTTTTAAAATTTATGACAAAAGTCCCTCTTTTTTTGCCTTTAGTCTCTTAAAATAATGGCAGAGAGAAACCAAATAATTGGTTTCTCTCTGCCATTAGAGAGAAGATTTTAATCACTGCAGGTAGTCCTTGACTTATGACCATAATTGAACCTGGAATTAAAGACTTAAGTTGTTGCAGTTGTAAGTTGAGGCATCATGGGACTGTTCTTTTTACAAGGGTTGTTAATCAAACACTGCCATTATGAAATGAACATGGTGATTGTTAAGTGAATCCATTTTCTCCAATAAGCACTTTTGTTGGCACCAAGAAGTCAGAAACCAACCAAAACTGGTGCAAATCATGGTGATGTGACTGTGGAATGCTGGAAATGGCATAAAGTGAACCCGTTGCCAAGTGCCCAAAATGCGATCAGGTTGTAACTCCAAAAATGTGTTGTAAGTAGTTTACAGGAGGTCCATCTTAACTTTGAACAATAGTTAAATAACATGTCGTAAATTGAGGCCTTCCTGTACTTGAGCCTGTTTTTCAAGGTAAAAGGCCTTTGATCTGAAGAGCAACTTCCTTGTATTTCATCATGCCTGAAGAACCACCACCTCAATTCCCTCTTCTGCTGAGAAGAGCTGCCTCCTGATGAAAAATCTTCTGCTACTGTATTTCCCCGAAAGTAAGGCCTACCCCTGAAAATAAGCCCCAGCTTGATTTTTTGGGGTGGGTGGGCCTAATATAAGCCCTACCCCAAAAATAAGTCCTAGTTTTGCGGAGTGGCACCTAAAAATCAAACTAGGGTGGGGGTGGAGGTGTGGAGCTGCCCCACACACACCACACCCACTTACCTTGCAGCCAGGCCTCTCCTCACTGGCTCACTTCTTCTGCAGCATCTTCTGCAGCCAGGCCTACATTTCTCAGTCACAGGCCTTTCCAGAAGGCCACTGCAGCCGAGAACTGAATGGTTCACCTGGTTCACCTTTATGCCATTTCCAGCATTCCATGGTCACATCACCATGATTGAATCCATGGCTCAGTTCTGCAAGACCTCTGCAGCCGAGAACTGAACTACGGATTGAATCCATAGCTTGGTACTCGGCTGCAGTGGCCTTCCGGAAAGGCCTGACTGCAAAATGCAGGCCGGAATGCAGCTGCAGAATGAAGCTGCTCCTTCACCCAGAAGTGAACCAGCTAGGTGGGACTGTCGGTGCCGGAGGTGAGTATAAAAGACTTCCCCTGAAAATAAGACCTGGTGCCTCTTTTGGAGGCAAAAAAAAAAGAGACCCAGTCTTATTTTCGGGGAAACACGGTATTCCTTCCAGAAAAATATGGCCCAACATTTAAACTTCATTGTTTATTTAATTTATTAAAAATCCATCATGAGTTAAATGTGAAGTAAAACTTCCGTACCTCCATTTCAAACTCACCTTATCAACTCTTTCTAAATTGGCACGCAACTGTTTTTGGAGATTATAGAGTGTGGACAAGGAGAGATTATCTAAATCAGAGAATGAGTGCAGGAACTGGGGGTCCTGGCCAGTATGGATCTGCTCGATTTCTTCCTGGAGTTTCTTGACTTGCAGTTCCAAGTTCTCTCTCTGCTCCCGGGCAAGCTCACATTCTAGGGTTGCTGTACTAGCACGATCATTAGCTTCCTCTGCTTCTTTTTTCCATGCATCACAGGCCTGTGCATCCAAAGTAAAATAATATTAGTAGCTTCTCTTAATCATTTCATATGAGAAAAAAAATAGCTATTTCTAGCCATTTGTACTTTGGGGACAGAATTCTGTCACATCCTATGCCTATCCTTTCAAATACCTTGTATGCAGATCAATTTTCCTATCTGTACAAATTTCTGCAAAGCAAACCCATTCAAACGTGAATATTATCAGATAAATGCAGGGCATGTTTCTAAGAAAATCTGCGGAGCAAAATATCAACAGGAGAAGCACATTTAACTCTGCCTTTTGTCTTACAAGTGTATATACATCAATTGGTTTAGAGCTTGGCCAGCACTTCAAACCATTTTTAGAATAAGTACTCCATTTGCGTTTACTCATTGGGGGGATAGCAATTGCTCAGAGGTGATTGGCACACTTTTGTGGACATGCACCTTCTCAGTCTGTGAACCAAAATGGACACCAAGATTATCTAAGAGAAACACCTAAACTTTAACGTAACTTTTATGCTCAACAGAAAAGAACAGCAGCAGACAGGCAGCAATTTCTCCAGCTAGTCCAGGGATCAATCTGGTAAGAAGAATCCATGTGATTCTCCCCCAACATAGCAAGAATCAAGGAGTACTTTCACAGTATATCACCTGATCTCAGAGAAAGTGTAATCTCATTCAGTTTCGCGAAAAATCTTTTTCTGAATCTATGTAATGTTCAAGTGTTACCCTTTATTTGGGTAACACAAAACAATAAAATAAAGGCACTTCAGTTCAAAATTGCAGTTGATTACTTCCAGCAGTTAGTTTGTGTCTACGGGTAGTCCTCAATTTATGACTGCTATTGGGGCCAGAAATTTGATCACTATGTGGGTGGTTAAGCAAGTCATCACATGGCCAGACCATTGTCACTGCGCATTAAGCAAATCACCCAATCATTAAGTGAATGATGCTGTTCTTAAATGAATCTGGCTTCCCCCACTGATTTGGTTGTCAGAAGCTGGCTGAGAAGGTCACAAATCACTATTATGAGACCACAGGATGTTGCAACAGTCATAAACGTCATTCAGTTATCAAGTGCCAAAATTCTGATTATGTGATAGTAGTGGTGATGTGGGAGTAGTAATTTTGAGGTTGGGTCATAAATCACTTTTTTCAGGGCCATCGTAACTCTGAACCATCATTAAACAAATGGTTGTAAATTAAGGACTACCTGTATGTCTATATATCTATATCTCACTTAAAGAATTGGTCAGACTTCTGTGATGATAAATTAAGACCACCTTACAACATCTTCTGGATATAATCTAACAACAGGATATGACTTTGAGGATGCAACTCCACTACGCTGCAACTATGGTTGACAATTCCAAGAGAACCAATGGTGCAGTACTCACTGCATCCAGTTCCCAGAAAGGTTATCTACCAAAATTGGCAAAACAGCCTTAATTTCATCACCTATCTTAGTGGTGGCCAGAGGCGGCACTCGGAGCCCTCTCTGTGGGCACATGTGCCGTTGCTCCAGCCTCCCCTGCCCCCATGACCCCTCCTCTCCAGCAGCCCCCCTGAAGGAGAGTCGCCCCTGAGCATGGCCCACGCGGAGCACCTCAGCCAAGGACATGGCAGCCAGGCAGCGTAGACAAGACTCTGCCCTCACATCTCATCATGCACAGTTGATGCTGCAGGGCGCAGGCAGAGGGCATGACCGCCATAGCACTGCTGGGCTGCCTGGGCAATCTGCGGCAGGCCTTGGAGGAGGTGAGTGGCCCTGCAGGAAGGTGGTGAGGAATGGAGGCGGGGCAGGGGGCGGAGCATGGGTAGGGCCAGTTTTTAGGCACTCGGTCTCTAAAAGGTTCGCCATCACTGGCCTATCTAAAGCTAAATAGTTCAAATAATCAATATTAGCCGATGTTTCTAGAGGAGTTGCCACTTCATACCCTCTTATTCCCCTAGGTCAGGGGTAGGCAACCCAAAACACTCAAAGAGCCACTTGGACCCGTTTCCCACCAAAAACAAAACACTGGGAGCCGCAAAACCCTTTTGATATCTAAAATGAAGATAACACTGCATATATCCTTTTTTACCTTTATTATAGGTGTGTGTGTGTGTGTGTGTGTGTGTATACACACACACACACACATTAAAAATAAAAGTAAAAATATGACTCTTGGGAATATTCATACTATTAAAACAATGATCACCAAGAGAATACTTTAAGAGAATAAAATTACATACACACACAGGTAAAAAAAAGGATATATGCAGTGTTATCTTCATTTTAGATGTCAAAAGGGTCTGTCTCTCTCTCTCTCCCTCCCTCTCTATCTGCCCTTGGTCTGCCACTCCTCTTCCCCCACTCTCTTTCTTTCTTTCTTTCTCTCTCTCTCTCTTTCTCCCCCCCCCTCCTATCTGCTGCTCACCTGGCAAGCTTCAAGCTGTTGTCCAACAAGCTCGGGTAAGCAAGCTCGTCTCTTTTATGACTCATGGACTTCAACTCCCAGAATTCCTGAGTCAGCCTAGCTGGGCTAGCTAGCTCTCTCCTGCCCTTCCTGCTTCCTGCTTCCTGCAGAGACGCAGCAAAGGGAGGAGCTCCGCCCAGGAAGCTTTTCAGCTCCTCGGAGAACACTGTGAGTGCACTCTCTTTTACACACAAACGCACACACAAAAACACAAACAGAGAGAGAGAGAAGCAGGGAAGCGCAATTGCCTCTCTCTGTCTCTGTCTCTCTCTGCAAAGGCAGAGGAGGCTGGGAGCCACAGGGGAAGGCTCAAAGAGCCGCATGCGGCTCCAGAGCCGCAGGTTGCCGACCTGTGCCCTAGGTCAACAATAGTAATATCACTCACTGCATCAGCATATTAACAAATAAATAAAATAAATAGTATATTGGAGACTGTGAAGGAAAAGAGAGTATCATTTTAGAGATGAAGCACAAGTTAAGCTGCATGAAACCTTTAGGCAGATGAATCCAAATTCAAATTAGAAAAGCTAAGACTCATAGAGCAGGGTCCCCAACCCGCAGCCTGCTACCGGGCTTTGAGCCATTCAGAACTGGGTTGCGGAAGTGGCGGGCAAGCATGCACGCACATCCCCACTTGTGCAAGCAGCAGGCAAGTGTGTGCATCCATGCTCCATTTACGGAACCATCCCCTCCCCCCCCATCAGTCCGCAAAGCCAGAAAGGTTGGGGAACTCTGTCATAGAGGAACTCAAGAATGTTTGTGCTGAGCATCACAACTTGAAATCTACTCCTCTGCACACCTAAGATATCCGTCTTTTTCTTTGTCCATTAGTAAAAAGATCTGTGGCGAGTTTACATTACAAAAATCAGTTAGGCCAGCTGAGTACTTTCTTAGATCCCAAATTACTCATTAGTTTAGGGCTGCTATTAATGCTTTAGGAAACCAACCAGCCAAACACACACAAACACACACACACGCATACACCCTGCCAACCACACTACCTGTTTGGCTTGTTTCCAAGAATCTTCCCACTGTTTTATCGTGCTGTTAGCTTCGTCTAATTCTTGCCGCAACCTGGCCAGCTCAGCAGCACCTGGACCTGACAGAAATGCAGGTGAAGTACTGGGTGAAAAACTTCCTGAAGCAAAATGCTCCCATATGCTGCTGTTCATTCCATTTAAACCTGTTTCGTGTGGAGATAAGAAAAACATGTTATTTCACATTTCTTTTTCTCGTCCCAAACTATTTTTTTGAAAACTAGAATAGAATGCTGCCATTTTTTTTTACTGGGCAACACTGCATTTGAAAACCGTTTGGAGGGATATGCATGCATTTGCACTGTCAGTCTGCCCCTTCAGCTTTAGCAAAAAAGAATGGCAGCTGACAATCTTGTGCAAACGATGCCCAGAAGCAGTTCTGTAGTACACTTAATCCACAAATGCAGTGTAGATAGATACAGGATTACCTAGTGCAGATTCACACAGAGCACATGAGGAACGAATATACCATAAACTCTCGGTAAAGGCTTAGGCTTCAGGGAACAGCAATCAGCACACAGATGCTTAAGAACAAAATGAAACAGTCACCCATTATTTTGTACTTTGTTAATATCTTTAGGACGACATTTGATGCCATATTAAGATAGATATCTTTAGAATTCTGGCATGATCTGTTGTCTTTTACATGGCCAATCCTGACTGCCTACTCTTGCTAGTAGGAACAGTTAAAGAAATCACTGAGATCCATCCATTAAATGCCAATTGAAAATTCTGACTTGTTTAGCTGTAAAGAAGCCAGAATCATAACATATAACAAACTATGGTTGATATGTCTTATTAGAAAAGAAATAAAGACACCTCAGATCACACATTAAGAAAATGAGAGATGGAAGAATCTGAGTTTGTTTAGCTGCTCCTAAGGGCAGAAGCCAAGTTAAAGTAGGAAGCATCAGCATACAGCTAGTTCATGATGCAACCAGAAGTTTAAAAACTTGGATCTGAATATGTGTTGGCACTTATTCAAATTTTCTCTACCCATTTAATTTTGAAAATACACTCGACACACTTTTCTTAGTATTACATCCGCTATTATCACAGTATCTTCCTTTTCAGTTCAAATACACAATTGCTAATAGACCAAAGTTCCCTCTGGACATTCCAAGGGAAAATTATAATAGAGTATATTAAACTATAGTAATGTTATTTCTGTTGTGTTGTTATTCAGCATCAGTTAATTTAAAATAATGTAGAGAGTGCCCTCAACTAATTTGAGAAATCTTTTCATCACAACAGACCAATATGTCTTTAGATAAGGCACGGGAATGAGGCACAGAATCTGCTATTAAGGGGAAAAGATATACCACCCACTATATTTTATAGTATTTAAAGTGTGACTGTAAAAATCCATTATCACACAGAGATACTTCTGAGAGAGCAAGGACTGGCTAATTTGCTCTGCTGAGAGACATTGGTTTGTTGCTGAAAATGATATAAAGTAGGCTTCTGGATCTATTCCATTTAAGTCACAGCATACAACCATTCCGTATCTGGTGGAGATACAGTGAGGGGAAAAATTATTTGATCCCTTGTTGATTTTGTACGCTTGCCCACTGACAAAGAAATGATCAGTCTATAATTTTGATGGTAGGTTTATTTTAACAGTGAGAGACACAATAACAACAACAAAAAATCCAGAAAAAAACATTTCAAAAAAGTTATAAATTGATTTGCATTTTAATAAGTGAAATAAGTATTTGATCCCCTATCAATCAAGTCAGATTTTTGGCTCCCAGGTGTCTTTTATACAGATAACTCCCTCTTAAAGGGAGTGCTCTAATCTCAGCTTGTTACCTGTATAAAAGATACCTGTCCATCAGATTCCATGGCCAAGACCAAAGAGCTGTCCAAGGATGTCAGGGACAAGACTGTAGACCTACACAAGGCTGGAACGGGCTACAAGACTATTGCCAAGCAGCTTGGTGAGAAGGTGACAACAGTTGGTGCGATTATTCGCAAATGGAAGAAACACAAAATAACTGTCGATCTTCCTCAGTCTGGGGCTCCATGCAAGATCCCATTTCGTGGAGTTTCAATGATCATGTGAATGGTGAGGAATCAGCCCAGAACTACACGGGAGGATCTTGTCAATGATCTCAAGGCAGCTGGGACCATAATCATTAAGAAAACAATTGGTAATATATTACGCCATGAAAGACTGAAATCCTGCAGCATCCGCAAGGTCCCCCTGCTCAAGAAAGCACATGTATAGGCCTGACTGAAGTTTGCCAATGAACATCTGAATGATTCAGAGGAGAACTGGGTGAAAGTGTTGTGGTCAGGAGAGACCAAAATCGAGCTCTTTGGCATCAACTCGTCGTGTTTGGAGGAGGAGGAATGCTGCCTATGACCCCAAGAACACCATCCCCATCGTCAAACATGGAGGTAGAAACATTATGCTTTGGGGGTGTTTTTTCTGCTAAGGGGACAGGATAACTTCACCGCATCAGATAACTTCACCGCATCAAAGGGACGATGGATGGGGTCATGTACTTGTCAAATCCTGGGCGAGAACCTCCTTCCCTCAGGGCATTGAAAATGGGTCATGGATGGTATTCCAGCATGGCAATGACCCAAAGCACATGGCCAAGGCAACAAAGGAGTGGCTCAAGAAGAAGCACATTAAGGTCCTGGAGTGGCCTAGCCAGTCGCCAGACCTTAATCCCATAGAAAATCTGTAGAGGGAGCTGAAGGTTTGAGCTGCCAAACGTCAGCTTCAAAACCTTAATGACTTGGAGAAGATCTGCAAAGAGGAGTGGGACAAAATCCCTCCTGAGACGTATGCAAACCTGGTGGCCAACTACAAGAAACATCTGACCTCTGTGATTGCCAACAAGGGTTTTGCCACCAAGTACTAAGTCTTGTTTTGCGAAGGGGTCAAATACTTATTTCACTCATTACAATGCAAATCAATTTATAACTTTTTTGAAGTGAGTTTTTCTGGATTTTTTTGTTGTTATTCTGCCTCTCACTGTTAAAATAAACCTACCATTAAAATTATAGACTGATCATTTCTTTGTCAGTGGGCAAATGTACAAAATCAGCAGGGGATCAAATAATCTTTTCCCTCACTGTAAACTATTTTTCTTCTGTTTTCTGCCAGAAATCATGCAGAAAAATGAAAGGTTATGAGTGAAGTATTTAGCTTTAGAAAATAAGAGTGATCCAGCAAGTATGCAGAACAATGGAGACTCCTTCCTCTAATGAGGAAGAATCTATTTCTTACCAAACATTTGCTCAGATAAGGAAAGATGCTGTAAATCAAATGAGTTTTTGTAGGTATCTCTCTGCATCATAGGAAAATGGGTTTTTTTTCCACACAGAATTTAAATTATAGTTTACTTTCAATTTAAGGCTGCTGTTCAGCAGCAATGCTTAAGCTGCAATATAAAAAGCATGGCTATACTTTTGAAATAAATTGACCACAACAGAATTGCCAAATCCAAGGCACACAACATTGCAGAACCCAAGAACCCAAAGCATAAAGAAATATGCTTATAACAAAATTTACTTCTTAAAAATTCTACATATTTTAGGACATTCATCATGTTGATTTGCTATCATGTTACTGCTGACACTGTTTTTGTAAGCATGAAAGCTGTTTATGTTTTTGGCAGGAACAAAAATTCTAGAGCAAAATTACTCATTGAAGATAATCTTTTCCTCTCTCCATTAGCTTTATGCAGCCCCATTCATGAGATGCCTTTTACAGTGCAATCTTTACATGTCAGTTTAGAAATCAGTTCCATTTTAATTAAATTAGGACCTACCAGATAACATAAACTACATTATCCAGAAGGCCATCCCTTAAGGAGACAGTTCTTAATTCCTAAGCTAGCTATATACTCTGAACAGATAGCTATATACTCTGACAAGCACAGTGTATACAACTGCAATAAGAATAGCTCATATGCTCATTGCTAGAGATCCCTGCATATATGCAATAACGGATGATACAAACCGAGCACAGATATATGATATATATGTGGACCTCTTTCAGGGAAAAGAGTTTTTCCAAACTGGGTATAATGACCTTATAGAAAAATCAATGCAGTTGCATTACTGTATAAGGAATCCTGGGAAATGAATGTTTGAGTATTGATTTCAGAGTAATATATTTGTTTAGGACCTTCAATCATATCCTAAACTTTCTGTTTTTTCTTGAACAATGGGGTGCATTTGTCTTTTCTGCAATCATTTCTTATAATCTGCCTGATCTGCCATCCCTAGTTACTAAAGTGTGTAAATTGTACAGTGCTGAAAATCAAAAGTGTTGCAATATATGGAGCATGAGTTTGTTCAAAGTAAATGATTACAAATATGACAGGCACGTATGAATGAACATGTGAAAACATACGACAGATTTTAAGGTCTCTTCACCCCACCCTCGAAACAACATTCCTGCCTTATTCCTTTATCAATTCTTAATTTTTAATCAATTCTTAATCTTTAATTCATATATCTTACCTATTGTGGAATAAAAATCGGTTACGTAGAGGACATTAGGTAAATATTGGCTTGTGGATATAAAACATTAGACTAAATTAGTAAACTGAAACCATTAAGCTATCCACAACTCCTTTGCTGATTTCACAGAATGACTACATCTGACTCTGATTGGTTAAATAGAATGAAAGAGATAAAGTTCCCATCAAATCAAACTCAGTTCCTGGTAATTATATGGATATGTCTGTGTTGTCTCCTTGGTAACATAAAGAACTGGTTTGCCACTGTTTTCTTCTGGGATGTTTCTTCAATTTCTCAGTCTAACATACATAGTATATATAATATAATAGAAGCAGCACATCGCTCAAATTTGCAAAGCACGCTACAGTTATTAGTACTTCCTTCACTAAACACAAAATGTGCCCCAAGGCCTCATTTTAATGCCAGAGTTCAATGTTAGAACATCTGATCAAATAATGAATGCTTCTATGCATACTTATGTAAGATAAACACAAAAATAATACAGATGCTGCTTTAAAATTGACATATAAAGAGAAATATTTTGTTCAGGTGCTGTCAGAATATTTGTTTATAGGAATCATATATGTAAATGAAAGCAATGTAGGCATCACAAGTTTGTTCTGAGTGAATTAAAAGCTGATAGCTAATGACATTTCATATTTGTACAGGTTTTTTTTTTATAAATCATTAATATACATATCAGTAAACCAATTTCACCCTGTTTGGGACTCATTAAATGTATATTGCCACAGATCTTCCTATGGAGTTCAAACACTCAGTCAAGAACTGAAGTATGGAATTCAGGGGAACTGAACTGCTGTTCATATACTTACTGAACTTTTACATTCAGTCTGTGGAATGGGTCTACTTGCATATTTGAAATTTACTTTGTTGCAATCTGAAATCATCTATCCAAGCTAAATCAGATGTGGGTTCAAAGACTCAGCCTTTCCTCTGAAATCCATGCCCAATTAGTAATTATCCTTTATTACTAGTCTTCTACAGTACAGGCCATACTTGACTTTCGACCACAATTGGGACCAGAATTTCTGTTGCTAAGCGAGGTGGTTGTTAAGTGAGTCATGCCCGACTTTATGACCTTTTTGGCACGAGTGTTAAGTGAATTACAGCAGTGGTTATGAGAATCATGCCATTGTTAAGTGAATCCAGCTTCCCGCCCTGACTTTGCTTATTAGAAGCCAGCTGGGAAGATTGCAAATGGCAATCACACAACCCTGGGACAATGCAGTTATCACAGAACAGGTCAGTTGCCAATTGTCTACATTTTGATTACGTGACGGTAGGAGATGCTGCAATAGTTGTAAGTATGAGGACTGCTTGTAAGTCACTTTTTTTTTCAATTCCATTGTAACCTTGAACGTACGTTAAACAAATTGTTGTAAGTCGAGGATTACCTGTACTAAATTTATTTGATTGGTTTTTCGTCTGCAACAAAGTCCTGTTCAAAAAAGTCAAATCCTTATAACTTAGATCTAATTAATCTTTTCTGATTTTACAGAGACTGGACAAATACATTATGTTAGATGGCAACAAAAATGTGAACATTCAAATGAAAGTTAATTTAAAAAAAAAAGGAAAATACTTACATGGCATAGACAGTGAACATGTTAACAGATATACTCTCATGCTTACATTGGGCATTTACCTAATGATCCATGAGAAGCTGATGTCCCCAGGAAAGTATTTTCTGATTGGCTTAAGTGTCCCTGGGACTGATGGAGGAAATGCGATGATAAGCTGACCGGTGGAGAAGGAGAGGCAGAGTGAAAGGAGGCAGAACTTCCAAGGGACCCAGGGATATTTACAGGAGCAGAACTTTGCAGCAAACTCCCACCTGGACAAAGAACACACAGAAAGTATGGGAATGTAGAAGCCATGAATTATGAGTGGAAGCACAGCACAGGAATTTGAGCAGCAGGTGTTTGCTTCACTCTCTGCACCAGTAAAAGGATGGGTGAATCCAGAATATTCCTCTAATCTATATCTTTCTACACCTTCAGAGCTGGTATTATAAGAATTGTCCCTGTAGCCAAGGAAGGTTAAAAAGTAAACTATTGAATGTTAGCTGCAAAACACTGGGAGCCAGGGTTAGGATTAGAGTTAAGAATCCGAAGTTCTCCAGTACGCAAAGGACAGCTTACAATCTAAGAGATAGTTAGATAGCTGATTTTCAATTCTTGTAGCTCCATAATGACACTATTTATATACATGTTTAAATTAATTTTCTACTATCCCCATTATTTGTTCGTGCAAGAAACTACATTTCTATGACAACTATAGTATCTAGTAATGATTATCATGATTATATATAATAATTAGAGTATAATTATGATTTATGCTTTTTTTCAGAAGAGATGTGTTCATCAAATCATATAGATTAAGAAGTACATTTTTCAAGGACAGTCGTTCGAATTAAATGGCAACTCCACTTTTTATAGACTGTGCCAAAGATATTCTTGCAAGCTGAACCTCCCATTCCACAGTAAGGATAAAAATTTGTTAAGAGACAGCAAATGGGACAGAGTTCTGTATTCAGGCACTGTGCCAAAGGAAAAAAAATGGAGCTTAATTTCTACATGCAGAAACACACTCATAAGATGTTCTAGCAGAAGAGATCAGTAAACTGGTGGCACAGCAATTATTTATGCTTCATCTACAGGAAAGGGAGCAGGGTAAATCACCTTCCCATTTGGCTAGAGGACTCCCAATTGCATGGCACAGAAAAGAAATCAAACTCACTAGTCCATGAAAGTTGTTAGTGTTGCAAGAATACTTTTTTTCTCAGTTTTAATAATGCTTGAGAACACATAGCACTGCCTTGAAAGCTTCAGATTAAAGGGTCTCCTATGTGGCACAGAACTTCCCATCCTTCTTTTACCCTAAAAGTTGCAACAGTAGATCAACCAACATGTTCTTCTGGCTATGGTATACTGAGCTGGCTTGCATGACGACGAAGTTTTCTGATAATCTGAAAAACCAATTTCTCATTCATATATACGAGACTAAAGAAGATGCTGCTTATGGGAACAAGGCCTAACTGTAAAGGAAAAACAGCACTGGGCCACATTCTCCATATTTATTTCCAAACTGATCTTAGCCCAAACCAATATGGCCATAGCATTTCTGCCAAATGGTTTTATGTTGAATACTATCTCCTCAAAGTAGAACCACTTTTTGAGAAAGCAGAAAATATGCTGGGTAGGCTAATTCTAATTTGCACAGCTACTCAAATCAGAAGCAACAACACTAAAAACAGGATATGCTGAAATAAAACTATGTGTTGATGAAAGACAGTTGCAAACTGTTTTGCAATAGAAAAACACCTGATACCAAGGTGGTTTAAGCTAATGGATGTGCCTTTAAAAAAAGTGTAGTGGCAGCAGTGAGTAAGGCACTTACCAATTTGCACACAGTTTCAGTTCCCAAAGAAAAGTTTTGTCAATTACTAATGGGATATGTACACTTAGAATATAGCAAGGTTGCATAGACTATATTCACTTGAAAACAAGACATGGGGCAAAAAAAAAAAAAAAAAAGAAGACACTGGTTTGAAATGACCACATACAAGGGATGAGATACACAAGCGGTAGTTTGTCAATGTGTGGCGACATGCCTTGCCATGATCCTGTGACAGCAGAACAGTGATACCAATCCAATTTGTTTCCTACTATTTAAACCGATTTTTCCCCCTCTTCCATGATAGTCTTGTGTCAGAATTTTGTGAACATGTTTAGTGTGCCACTGTTAAGATATTGTAAAGCAAAATAAGCCATGCCTATCTCGTAAACATAATTGGGACATCAGAAACCAGTGAAAGATATTTCCAATTCGCTAACCAATGAGGGCCCTTTGGCTCTAAGGTCTCCCATTGGCTGTTAACCAATATGTCATGTAAGGGCTGGTTCTGAGAGCTTGCTAGGCTGCTTCAGCCAGCTGATGGGGCAAACCCTGCTTGGCAGAAGATCAAAGAAAGCTCTGTTGCTTTCATGTACCTATCATGATGCCACTCGTGTGGGGCACCGAGCTGCTGTCAAATGTCTTCTCCAGGGCAGCCACTCCGAATTCGTTCAGGTCCAGGTCATCCAAGGCAGACTCTGCCAGACAGAGGCACCAATTATATATTACAAAAAGGACCAACAACTTCAAGGGAAAGGGAAGTCCAAAGAGTTCACAAAGAGATGTCACTGCTCTGGACTGGAGAATCTACAATGCAAGGCTGCCAATAGTTGTTTAAATGAATCAGCTTTCAATATTGTTTCCTATGGCCTGATCTGAATCCTAGGTCTTTCAGCATCAGGCTGATCCCATAGATTGACACTGGAAATAACAGCAATGCAAAACAGATCTCCCTGCACACCTGCTGTACAGCTTGACCTTGGGTAGAAGTACATCCAGGGTTGGCTTTAATAACAGGTGCCCGTCCCAGTCACCTGGCAACCTAGGTGTCCATGATGCATAGTGATTGGAATTCACTATTGCTATAGTTAGGAATTCCACTGTGGAGAGCAACTTGGATTGCAATTAATGACAGAGGAGATGACAATAGGAATGAGGTGCAAGTATGACAGTGCAAAGAAGGGAAGTGTGTATGGCAGTAATATAAGAGGCTGTGTGTAGGGGGGAGGAAGGGGAAAATGAATGAGCATATCCTATGAAACAAGCTATAGCCAGCAGTGGCCCAATAATGAGCCAGCCACGTAGCACGGACACTGCCAGTTGGGGATGAGATGGAGCAAACCTGCACAGGATCATCCCTGGGGGTATTCCTAGCCAATGTATTATGTCTTGTCAAATGTTGTCTCATAAAGCATCACATGGGTTGTGCTCTATTTGTGACATTCTTGTGGTTTCAGAAAGGTAAGACTATAATATAAATAATAAACAATTTTAGATGCTGAAAATGGATGTTCCCCTCCCCCTCCTGCATAGTTTATCTTCAGTTGTGAAGTACTGCCTAGAGCAGTGGTGGCGAACCTATGGCACGGGTGCCAGAGGCGGCACTTGGAGCCCTCTCTGTGGGCACACTTGCTGTTGTCCCAGCCTTGCTTCCCCCATGACCCCCTCACCAGCAGCCCCCCTGGAGGAGAGCATGGCCCATGCACAGCAGTGTAGCCAAGGACATGGCAGCCAGGCAGCATAGACAAGACTCTGCCCTCACTGCCTATCCTGCACAGTTGATGCTGTGGGATGTGGGTAGAGGGTGTGGCCGCCATGGCGCTGCTGGATGATCAGCAGCGGGCCCTGGAGGCGGTGAGTGGCCCCGCGGTCAGGCGGGGTGGGGCAGAGCGGGGGTGGGGCCAGTTTTTGGGCACTCGGTCTCTAAAAGGTTCGCCATCACTGGCCTAGAAGGTTACTTCTTGAGCATTCAGAAAGCAATAAAAGAATTTCAGATTTCCTCAACAATTTCCTATTAGAAAATGTTAAGAAAGTACCCATCTAGAATTAAGAAACATATCCCCCCCCCAACAGATCCTTCATAAGTGTTTTAATTTAGTGGCAAGAGTTGTCTCTTTTATTTGTATCATTCCAGGCCTGTAACAGAACACCAACAGTTAATAAAAATGGTAACAGATTACCTGGAAAATAAGAGACGTGTATCAAACAATGCTAAATATCAATAATAATAATAATTGCAAAAGGCTTTACTCAGAACAGCATACATCCTGCAATGATATTTTAATATTATAAAATAATATTTGCCTCTCACAGGTCCTTGGGAAGGACTCAATGGACAAAAATCCCAAATCCACTTTAAAAATCTGGTTGACTGTGCAATCAACCATAAAAATGACAATAATACATTAAAAAAAGAGAGAAATGCCCATCCTTGTACAATACGCACTCTTATTCTTCTTGGAAATCCACTAAATTTAGAAATTTAAATATGGTAACATGAGCCCTTAAACAGAAATGTAAATAAAATCTTTTAAAAATCTGCATTTGAAATGTTTTGTTATTGCTATCGTGAATGGAAATGTTCATCTTTTTAATATTTATAAAATAGCTGCTCAGTAACAGATTATGCATGCCACATGACTGAATTTTTAGTGGATTGACCCACACAATGGTACACTGAGCCAATTTGGTGACTTATGAGTTTAGAAAATATAGGATAAGATGAAGAACATCAAACAAGATCTACACACACATATACACAGAGATTTAGAAGCAATCATGATCTTTCATTGACTATCCTGCCACATTGTCTGCTCTAGCAAAAACAGCAGAGCCATGTCACAATCCAATAAGTTTATTGCTATATAAAAACTTATATCACAATAAATTTATTAGCCTTTAAGAAGATAAAGGACTCCTTGTGGTTTTTGTCATATTTTTACAGAATTCAGCTATGGGAGCTGTTGTGTAATATTGTTCTATAATTTAATTTATGAAATATGAAAGAGTTCATATTAAATGCAAGTCATCAGCCAAGTCACAAAGCAATAAAGCATAATTTCTACTGTAAGTTCTCTAAATAAAACAACCAAAGGCTTCCCACCCATAATGGATATTCTTCTTCTGGATTCCCTGCACCATCAATGTGCATAGGCAGTATTACCTATCACGGACTCCACAGTGTCACTAGTTGGGTAGAAAGGAAGGGCATTGGCATTCATGCCTGGTACACTGCTGGTGCCTGCTGGGCTTGGTGGTGTTGCTGCCAAACTAGAAGTAATGCTAGAGGAGATGCTAGATGTCAATGGGCTGCCAACTGGAAGAATCCCTAATATATCCTGAAAGAGGAAAATACATTCATGTATTGATGTATTGAAAATACACTCATGTATTCCTATGAGGCAACAGAATATTCGGAGAGAAGTAATGATATATTGTCATAAATAAGTTTTATTTCTTCCTAACATTTATATCTCACCCTTCAATTCTAAGGTACACTTAGGGCAGCTGATTGGTTCTTAGCATTTAATACAACACAATACAACACAACACAATAAAGACTGTTTGGAACTCTTTTAGAACAGAATAACAGTTGGAAGGGACCTTGGAGGTCTTCTAGTCCAATCTCCTGCTCAAGCAGGAAACCATGTAACAAATGGCTGTCCAATCTTTTGTTAAAAACCTCTAATGTCAGAGCCCCCACAATTCCTGGAGGCAAGTCGTTCCATTGATTAATTGTTAACAGTTCTTGTATATTGTCAGCTGCATCACATCACCAAGTTATATAATTCAAGATGTCTGTGTGTAATCTTGCCATTCGAATATCAAAGGAGGCTCAAACTAAAGAAGATTTGTAAACTGCAGTGAACCTTCCTCCAATAATCTCAGTGGTGGCGAACCTATGGCACGCGTGCCAGAGGCAGCACTCAGAGCCCTCTCTGTGGGCACGCGCGCCATGCCCCGAAGATGGCAACCGTCCCTCTTCAACCAGCTGTCCACTAACTTGCCAGATGCATCCCTGCACCCATGCGCTCGCTGGCCTCTGTGTGCAGGGGCCGATGGTATCAGGAGCAGCCGCCCTGGCCTCACCTTGCCCTGTGACAATGGCACCCCCACCCTGCCTCGCCTTGCCTCGCCTCACCCAGCAGGACGAGTCTCCTGCCCACCGCCCCACCTGCCAGAGACCCCCTGGATCTTCCCCAACCCTGCCCGGCCCCCACAAGCATTCCTCGCCATGAGCAACATCGAGGTGATCACGCCCACCTTGTCCACACCATGACCACCACAGCCACGCCCACCCAGTGAGCCACGCCCACCTGGCACCCGGCAATAAATAAATGGGTTTTGGGTTCCAGTTTGGGCACTCGGTCTCTAAAAGGTTCGCCATCACTGATCCATCTAGTTCAAGTAGTATTCAAAAATTCTGACTTTATACTTTTCTATTCACATCAACTTCAATTTTTTTTTTTTATCTGAAAGAAACCAGACTGATTCTTATACACTTAGGAAAGTGTCAAAAACCCTTTCAACCCTCCTTTCCACATATTTCACCAACTGAAATTTACACATGAGACTATATGAACCTTCAGAAACTAAACAGCATCCTCTGGAGTAGCATACCTGCTTGGGTTGTAACAGAGGTTGTTCTTGGGTTCTATGTTCCATGGAATGGGATTTGATTTTTGCCTGCTGCAGTAAGTAGAAGGGGGAAAAAAACCCAATAAATACGACAGAAATTATCAACTTCTTCAGATGTTTACAGCACTACCTCTTATTTTGTCGCTTTTGGTAACATCAGATTCTACAAAGAAAAGGGCTAGAGTGCTTCATGTAAGGGACTCCTGAAACTAGCAATTGAAAGATATTGTACCAACATTTTCTCTTTTCTTTAACATCTATTTTTTAAAAAACTAGAAGAGATGGGATAAATGGTAGGGAAATACAAGGGGATAACAAGTTGAAGACAGTGTTGTTTGTATACTTTAAAAAGTTCTGTAAAGGAGAACGAAAATCTGGATATGCTATGCATAAAGATACAAATTACTTTAGAAACAGTATGATTTACTTCAAAGTAAACAGTGTTTCCTTTGCATATACAGGATAATACTACTGTATTATCAATGAAATGGGCTTGAGGTATGGCCATAATTGTTGAAGAAAAAACAGTTCATTTAATTGAAAACAATTAATAGGAGCCATTATTATAACCTGGTGTGGCACTGATACAACAGAAGTAGAAAGAGGATTTGCCTGGAGCAGGCATCTTCAAACTTAGCCCTTTTATGACTTGTGGACTTCAACTCCCAGAATTCCTCAGCCAGGCATGTTGAAGTCTACAAGTCATAAAAGGGCCAAGTTTGAAGACCCATGCTATATGCCGTTTGCTGCTTTGAATTTTTGACAAAATAATTTAACTGAAATAATTGACACATGCTGGATAGAATAGAATCTATATTTCTGTAATATTGGGTTTAGTGTACACGTAAAATCAAAAACAGGTCTCAGGACAAAAAAAATGAACTTTAAGGAAATACTGATTTTACAAGTAGTCCTTGTTTAGTGACTCTAGTCACTAAATTCTGACGCTGTACAACTTCATGCGACTGCAACAGGCTCACAATCTCACTTCGCTAAGTGAATAAACATGGTTATTAAGCAAAACATTACATAACTGCAGCTTACAATTTTATTTCCACTTTCTCTATGATCTTTGCTTGTTGCAAGTCAGTAGCATTGTGATGATCATAAATGCAAGGATTGGATGCAAAGCTATGTTATTTCACCACTGTAACTTCAAATGGACATTAAATCAGGCACTCAGTAAGCAAGAACTATCTATATTCTGAGTAAATTCTCATTTGCTTATCTAAGAAATTCATTTATATTTGCATAATTTTTACTTTGGTACATTTTATGAATCATTTCTGAAGCTTCCAAGTCTAACTCACACTAAACAGAGCAAATATAAAATTTATTCTGAGTATCTCCTATCCCAGACTTCCAATTCTTCTGAGATTTGTTTTTCTCTAAAATACAAAACCTTTCCAGCAGTGTCATTATCTCTTCCTCAAAAGCCTCTTTATACTTGCTTGTATTTACTTATGTTTTCATGACCTGCACCTCTTGGATTCCCACAATACTATACAGAGATCCATGACACGAACCTTGCAACAATTATATATGCATTACTTGATTGCATGTCAGCTCTAAAACCAATCTACATAAGTTAGTACTTTTATAGCAATCACCAATGCAGAGACAGGGAGGTGTTTGCCACACTATTTTCTCAATGCCTGGGTACACCTCAAAGGAATGTATGCCTTTCAATTCATTCATCATAGTCATTTCCTAACAATGACGCCACTATGCTCATGTGGAATGTAAAGGCTTTCTATTTATGGAATACAAGAGATATTCCAAGGAAGTAAAAAGCATACTGCAAGGCATCTCTTCATTTTGCAGTGCATCCAACTTGCAATAGAACAAAAACTAATATTAATGTAGCTTTATAAAATTAGGATGGACAGGCAGATCCCAAGGGATTTATCAGCAGGTGTTAAGACACCCACAGGCACTACACATCTAGCATGAAGTATCAACAATTGGTTCCAGAGCTAATATATTGTTGATATACCATATCATTAATGATAACAGTTTATCATACATACATCCCATACCCTTTTCTAGTATTTTAGACCTACCTGGCATTTGAAATTCTTTAGGTACTCTGCTCCAACCAGGTCTTCCCGCTCAAATCCAGGTGCCTTCTTATAGCTACTTGCACTAGTTACTGAATCTGTGGGAAAACCAATGCTTTCCAAACTATGGGGTTTTCCAATTGCACCAGGAGGGGATCCACATAAATTAGATGGGCTTCCAAGACTGCTATTTCTACAGAGAATCTAACAGAAGCAGGAAGAAAAAAAGATGATAATTTGTGTATTAGATTGTAACACTCTCTACCTTTGTACCACAGCTGGTAGTAAACTTCTAAAATCTAAGTTGTTAAATTCAACCAGGTGACTGAAATATATAAAGCCACAATTTAATAAAAGTCCAAATAATTATATTTTGCCTCAGTGTCTTAGAAATATTGAGCATTTTTTTCAACAAAGCCATATTATTAAAGATGAGAATATCTTCACTGCAATTTTGATTGTTCTCCGTAGTTCATATGCTGTAACAGCTTTCTGTGACCTTCAGAGATCCAAATACTGCATCAACTGCCACAATCTCAATATATCATACAAATTTCTAATGCAAAATCAAGTACATTTCTTACTGTAAATTGATGCTTTCATATTTAAAGTGGTTTGGAATTTTCACAGTGGAAAAAGTAAACCCATGAAATATGTCCTGCTTTTGCTTCAGAGAGCAGGCAATTTGGAGATGCTTATCACAATAATGGAGTGAATATGTTCCCCAATTCAAAATAATGCCTCTTCCCCTAGAGAGAATACTTACTGTAGCAGAAGTAGGGCTAGTTGGTAGAGTTCCTGGTTTATTCCATACCTACAGTGCAAAGATAAATGAAACATATCATATGTGACATGGGCTACAGATTTCTGGGAGACACACAGGTTTACTCACTTGGACATATTTTTACTTAAAATAAGCTTTATTTTTTTCTGTCAGCTATATTACATTTACAGTGTCACATTATGATACAAATTTGGACTAAGATATGTGTAAGATCTCATGCAGTATTATAATCTACCTTTCAAAATCCCCCAAGGTGAAAACTTATGCTAGGTAGTAGCAATATCACTTCTAAGAATTGGTTGGATTTATTCAATTGAAAAGTGGCAAGATTCTGTTGAACTAGAACTAATGTATAATTTATGCAATTTAAATGCTACAAAGATGCTGAGCTAGCTCTGAGCCTGTAATCCTAAACTTTTATCTTCTTCTTCTTGTGCCATACCTGTTATCGGATGTTCAGAATCATGTTGGCGATCCTGTTGGCTTTTATCTATTTTATTTTATTTTATTTTATTTTATTTTATTTTAAGCTTTTAACTAGGACAGGTGTATCCAACCTGTGGGCCATGACAGGTTGGATACAGGTTATTAGACAGCTAATAATGCAGCCTCACAAGATCATAAACTTTTAAGATTATTATCTGTTATTTATATATACTAACTTTATTATATGTTTCATTTGCATCCCAACATAATTCCGCTTCACTCAATGTGGCCCAGACAAGCCAAAAGGTTGAATACCCATGACGTAGGAGCAGTTGCCATTATTCACAAAGACAAGCTCAAGCTTTTGGGATCAAAAAAGGATCAGCAATGTTCTTCTATCTAGAAAGAACTTATATTTAGAGAGAACTGCAGTATCACATGCTCAGTGAGGAATTTTGTAACAATTTTACATACATTGCTAAGGTCTGGGGCTTGTGGACTAGAAGGGCTGACAGGAACAGAATCGCCTGCTGCTGAGGGCATGTACATTACAGGGCCAGTTTGCGTTGGGCTAGAGACAGCAGATGTTGGCTGTAAATCTTCACTAAGTGGAGGTTCTATAAGAAACAGAAAACAAACCACAGGATAAATGCAGTTACAAAAATGGGTTCACAAACAACTCTATAAGAACAAAGGTTAAACAGGCAATGCCTAGCACCAGTTCTAAGGGCTAATCTTCCAGCTGCAGCAATCTACAAATCACTATAGAAAAAACAAGAAGGCATCATAAGACTAAGGGAGAGAATGTAACATCTTCCTTTTTTTTCTATATCGATAGTCTTAAAGAATAGCAGATATATATTCATAGTAGCTGCTTTAATTAGGCTTTATGCTGCCCTAGTTTATTACACTTAAGATTATTTATTCAATGTATATTCCACCTTTCTCCCTAAACGGCCTTCAAGACAACTACTAATAAAATATAAACATTTTAAATAATTGTTAACTAAATCAGATTGGGAAAATCTGGCTGAAATTCCTTTCATATCACCTGGGTAACTTTAATATAAAAACAGCTTCAGATTGAAATAAAAATGTAATCAACTCTGAAATTATGTATGTTTTCAAAATTTAGAAACAGTTTTATTTATGACTGAAAAATAATTGATCTTTAAATGTAGACATAATATGATCACAGAATTGGTTACCAGTTAGTAGACTGTTTATTTTTATTTTTTTGAGCTTAAAAATAGCTGAAACCTCAAAACACAAGCTCTATCTGTAGTTCTTTCATGAGACCTTGGCTTTGCATATATTACACCATAGCTTGTTTGAAAAGGCCGACCACCTTTATCCCACTCTCAATGCAAAAGGTTGACAGGAAGAGGCCTAATCTGAAAATCATGGATGTATACTAATTTAAAATTCTGGAATTTGGGGTGTACAAAAAGCGATGCACATTTAGGAATGAAAAAAACCATCCATGTCTATGATGGCAAGTAGTGTTCAGGGAGTAACCTCTAGAAGGTTTGTGCTTTCGTTCCAAGTTGTTCTGTCTCAAGTGATTATCCTTGTTTAAAAGGAAAGAAAAAAAACAGACAATATAAACAGATGACTGAATAATAATATCTGGATGCTCTAGGCATTTCTAAAAGCAACTATGGATATGTTCATTGTTGGGAAGAAGTCGGTGTCAAAAGTTTTTTTTAAAAAATTGCATTTTTTTTCTTCATTGTGCCCTTGTTTTATAGTTGAAGGAAGAGCATGACAAACAATATAGTAAAAAACTTGTCCCCTTTTCTTCCATAGAATTAGATCATACCAATAGCAAATTACAACTTCAAAATAAGTAGTACACAGTAGCATTCACAGTATCTTTAACTAGCCACTGGGTGTCACTTCTGCTTTGAGAACAAAGCGCAGGGCTATCAACCATCTGATGACTGAAGACTACTTTTTAAAAAAAATATATGCAGTTTGAAATAAAATTCACTATATATTATTTTTGGGTTTTTTCCCCCTATGCGACTAATTATGGGGGAGGAAGGAAGTTTGATTGCTTAAAATTGTACTTGCCTTGTTTAATATAGCAAGCAATGTTGTACTCTAAACAAGACTCGGAATAACATTCAGTAGACAGATTATTGCTACATAAAGAGAAGACCACCTACGTTCTACATGTGCAAAGGCACAGAAGGGTCCCCTGGGACAGCTGCCAGACTGCTGCATATCATTACATTTTGTTGATTTGTAGATCTGGGAAAAATACAAATAAAAAGAAAGTTGGGACAAGATGAAGCTGCTCAAACTCAGCTGCTTACGATGGATTTAGAAAGAGAGAAATGTATTAAGAAGTATAATAGATAGTTGACGTTTCGGTTGCATGTAGACTGAATAAATCTGTGGAGACTGAGGCTATGTTGGGTCTTAGAGTAGCATGCTGGGATGGGCAGCATTCCAAAAAAACCCAAAATAGATCTAAAATAAATATAATTTTAGTTTCATATAATTTAATTAACTCAATCAGTTAGATATGGATAATATGACTCCAATAACTTGTCCTGCCTGCCATTCCAAAAAAGAACCAGTTGTGTTGTAATGGTTTAAGACCCCAGGCTAGAAACTGAATGACTGTGAGTTCTAGTCTAATTAGTCCTAGTCTAATTAGTTCTAGCTAATCGGGTGATCATAGAGCAGTCACTCTCCCCCAGATCTAAGAAGTTGGCAATGGCAAACCACTTCTAAAAATATCGCTAGGAAAATTGCAGGGATTTATCCAGGAAGTCTCCAGGAATCAAAGACTAACTTGAAGGCAAAAAAAAAAATCATTCTAAAAATAAAAGTTAGAGGATTCTGGTGGACTGAGGACTGCATATAATCCTGAACCCCAGCCTATGCTTGGAGGTACAGAATTGTACCTTAGATCTTCAAAGAACTGTTTCCAGTGATACACGCATATACATAACATATGGGCAGAATTATAGCATAATCTACTCTTATTCACACAGAACCTCTAACGGCTTACCCTTAAACGTGCATATAGGACTATAGTATTAATTATCTTTGCAATTTACTCAAAGATTGTCCCATCAAATGGAACTATCCATGAACCCTACTTCAGTTTAGGCAATGCATTTTCAGCAAAAGAAGTAATTCGGAAGAAAACTTTTCAAATACTTGGAAATCAATCCAGATGCACTGCCCCACCAATTGCTAGCCACATCCTCCTGGCACTTCCACATATGGCTTTGGCACAGTTCCTATATGTCACTATGATCACATGCCATTTTCTTTCCGGGACAGCTGAGCTGATTATTTTTTGACTCCTCGTGAGACATTTCACATCACAAACTTTGTTTTCAATTGCTGAAATTTTGTGGCCTTTGGAAAGCTGTTTTCCCATCAACCAAACTTTGCTTCAATCTGCCTTGTCCTCCTTAACTTGGAATCCTCTAGTACATTTCAGAAGCACCCTTATTAGGGAGTCCAAGCTTAAATTTTTCTAGTGAGAATTTAAGCAATTTCACAATAGCTAAACAACAGAAAGGCTTGTAAACAGGATGCACTGAATTTGTGTTTTATATATTATTGCATCTATACATTATATTTCCAAACACACAATAAAACATTCATATATAAAACATAACAAGATTAAAATCAAAACCCAACTCATTGTAGGGGGGGCTCATTCCATAGCCTGGGAAGCACACAAGAGAAAAATTTTCCCTGACAGTAAAGCCTCTGTATCTTCATGAGGCTACAGAATACCTCAGTCTCAGAGTCTAGCTTTCTCCTTAACCAAAATGTTTCCTTATTAAGAGTGCCTCCATCTTCTGGATTTAACTTCGGTTTGTTCTCTGTCATCATCCAGTCTATTATCATAATGAGCAAACTTCAAAGAGACCAATTGCCTCTTGGAATTAGAACGTAGGGAGCAATTGAGCAGGCTGTCATCAATTGAGCAAGTTGTCATCAACACATTCCTGCTCTGAATGAGTTCCTTCTGGAGTTTCGTGTAGCTTTAAACAGCACAGAAGGACAAGCCAAGTCCTATGGGGTACTATAGGTCAACATCCTAGGAGGTCAAACCATAGTCCCCCTGTGGCACCTTCTGGCAGGAAAGACCAAAACTGCTGCAGAGCAATGTTTCCAAGGCCCAATTTTGCCAGATGATATCAAAAGCCATCAAGAAGACAGTCAGATGTATTCTCTCAAATAGTTTCTGGTATAAATCATAGAAAAAGGGGATGACAGAGAATGAGATGGCTGGATGGAGTCACTGAAGCAGTAGGTGTGAACTTAAATGGACTCCAGAAGATGGTAGAGGACAGGAAGACCTGGAGAAACGTTGTCCATGGGGTCGCGATGGGTCGGACATGGCTTTGCAATTAACAACAACAACAAATTGTATGGTTTATCATCTCCAGTAAATTGTGTAATCTCTGCATTTATCAGGTAAATGACCAACAAGGAAGAGTCTTTACCTCTGGGTGAAACTGTTGTTCTGTGCGGGTATGACAGTACTGGCATGCATCTCCATTGTCACACTTACTAGGATCTCCCCACTCATCTCCATGTTTCACGCTAGGGCATGGGGAGGATCTGTAGCAATAAGTAGAAAAAGAACGAGTTAGAAAGTCATTTAATTTTTGAGCCAAACAGAAAAACCGTATCTACAATAGTTGTATAGCTTTATTTCTGACACTGAGTACCTTTACTGTTTGCTAGTCTTCCTCAAGAAGGACAAATTGCATTTCATCAAACAACGCTAATACAAATCACTTCTATTTAATTCAAATTGGTCAAGGACAAGTAGATTATAAATATGTAGTTGGGTTATAGCTGAGCCCTGAAACAGTCCCCAAAAGAGTGCTTAATGTTTAGAAAAGGAAAGCTTATGGCAGCAGGAACATAAGCAAAGGAGATTAATAACTGCTAATCAGCATATGATTAGGAAGTATAATGTTTTTTCTTGAAATACACTTCTCAGAAAGGTGCTGTTTCAAAAAGTCTTCATTCTGAGGCCATTCGGTTTGATGTTCATTCCAGTTTTCCTGAGGAAACAATATTCTGAACATCATAACAGAATAGCTGCATCTCGATAAGTATTCCCTGATTAATTCTTAGAATGTAACTCCAATGTGGCAATAGGCTGAGAACTACAACTTGAGAAATCCCCTCATATCATAGAAAGCCACCTACTTATATGTGAACTTATTTTGCAACAAGGGTTATTTTCTTTTTCATGCTGACATTGTAATAGAGTGCAACAGGCTTAAAGCACATGCACCCTTACCCTTACTTATGGCAGCATTTACACAGATGTAATTCTGACCCATGAATTAACTACTTAATGTGAAATACAGTCTTCCCACTATGACTGATGTATTTATTACACTGAGATTAAAGTTACTATCCCAACGAAGGAAACGTCAAGCCTTGGCCCTTTATAACCAGGTTTTGAAGCACTGTACCTGTATTTATGTTTTCTAGGGCTCCTTCTTCTATCTTTGCTATTATGATAATAAGGGCAGGCATAACCTTGGCGACAGAGGCGTGGGGGCTTCTTACATTGTTCTGTTTTGTAGTTTCCCAAAACATAAGTTGTGTCTGTGAAGATAAGTATAATTAATTAATTAAAATCCTAAGCATACTTATTTCTATACAAGGCTTTTTTTTTAGAGGAGAGACTAATTCAAGCATAATTGGATTCAGTACTGTGTAAAACCCCAAGGAACTTACCTTGCCACCTTGGCTCTTCACTGAGTATTTTCTCTATCATAGCATGGCTAGCGGCAACTGCAGACTGACCTTCTATGCCACTTTCTGATGTGGTTTGACCATTCTGCAAAGCTTCCATGGCCTGAAGCTCCCTTAGGGAACAAAGATAAATTAGCAATATGCAGGTACAGATACTTAAAGAAAAACATATGTGCCTATCGGCTTTTTGAAAAAATCTTTCTAATAATGTTGAGAATCCTACTAAAAGCTGAGGTAAAAGGCAGCCTAGGGAAAAAAAAAACATCATTGCCAAAATTGCAATGGAAAAGGGTGTGATTTGCAGAGCTTATCGTTCTTAACTGTTTCCCCTGATTTTGTTCTCTCCCCTTGGGTATCTCCTCTCCCTCAGATCCCAGGTGTCTGTTGGCTGCATCATGGAAGAAGCAGTAGGATGAAGAGAATGAAAAAGGGTTAAGCATTTCTTCACAGATTAGAGGTGCATGGGGGAGAAATGCTTAACCCTTTGGTTATTTGGCTTCATTCACACATCTGCCTCAACCTAGTGGCAAAATGGTGTGCTGTTTATTGAGTGTACTGTATATTTTTACCATGGACTCCATCTCAATGCGAACCTGTTGTTCTGGGGAAAAAGTGATGTTTTCCAATGGAAAACAGAGTACAATTTCCTACGCACGCCTTAGGGCAGGGGTCCCCAACCCCCAGTCCGTGGACCAGTACTGGTCCGTGGCATGCCAGCAACTGGTCCGCACAAACAAGCAAAGCCCCATTCACAGGATGTAGGCAGCACACAAAACTACACCCCCTCCGGTCTGTGGAAAAACCTCTCTCCACATAACTGGTCCCTGGTGCCCAAAAGGTTGGGGACCTCTGCCTTAGAGCTCTATAACTCCATGGCCATTTTTAGTTGGGCTGTTAAGAGAAAACAAAACAGGCCAAGCAAGCAAAACTATTTCTCTTTTTTAGGCTCAGGTAGGAACATATTCCATGAAGTTGCTATTCCTACTAGTAACCTCCACTGCTTAGTTTTCAGTATCCAAGAGAAGAGGAAAAACTGGTGACAATATGTCTCTTCCAGTAGGTGTAAAGACCTCTTGGAAAGGAAAAAAATCTAGAGAGACAGAGTTCCTCTGCCTTCCCTACTCCACTCCCCTTTCCTGCAGTTGCTCTTACCTCCAAGCTGCTTTTTATAGCAGTCCTCAACAGCCACAGAACTGCCTTCATGAGAGGGCAGAAACTCTGCTGCTCTCATTTTGGAGGTGCAGCAAGAAGGAGGCAGTGATTTCTTGATCTGTATGTGTTCTTTCCATCTTGAGAATGCGAGGAAGGCACAACACCAGGGGTGTGGGAAAAGCCCTACAAGTCCCAGACCAGCACCTACTACGAGTTATCTAATTTGGCCATTACATATACTTTAGGTTGCTTACAGTATTTTTACAAATCCACAATTGCTTTTACTTTCTTTCGGTTGAAACTTGATTCTTGTCAGGCATCTACAAAAGTATTTGCCTCAGAAAGAGGCTCAATATCTCTCTAGCTAACGTGTTATCACACCTATAGTCAGTGCAATGGTTGAATTTTATCTAAATTCTGTAATGTGCCACATTGGGTTGTATTCATTCCATTCACAATAGCCATATTCATAAGGCTCTTTACCTAAAGTAATGGCCAAAGTCACCTTTCAATGCATAACAGTCCAAAAAAGCACCTTTGTTAGAATACTTGGATTAAACATCTTTTCTTAAAGAGAGAGAGAGAGAGAGAGAGAGAGAGAGAGAGAGAGAGAGAGAGAGAGAGAGAGAGAGAGAGAGAGAGAGAGAGAGAAATCTAACGCAATAAATATTCTAATGTTGAAGAACTTCGCATTGATTAGCATTTTACATTCCAGGATTTCCATTTAGATTCAGCAAGTAAATATCACAGAATTTATTCCCTACTAACCTGATATCATAAACTGGAGAACGTAGATCATGTGGCCCATGAGCAAAAGCACAATGAAGGCCATTCTTGGTGCAATTTCCTTTTGAATCAGTCTCATGGATGCAGATTCCAGTTTTGTAGTAGCGTAGATGATATCGCCGTTCTGTATCACCGGTAGTTCTATGCAGGAATGGACACCTAAGGAGAAGGGAAAAAAAGAAAGAGCTCACAAAAACTTAAAATCTCAAACATGCTTTCTAACCAAAAAAAAATCAAAATCCTTTTAAATGAACAGTCAACAGGGTTGAGAAATCCAGCATTTTTCCTTCTGAAAATAATTCCATTTGTAAATTAAAGACATGCAGTAAAACCTCCATTTTGAATACCTCTTTACATTGACCACCTCCCTAAGTTGACCTAATTTTCATAGGCCGGACACATGCTATATGTACACAATAGAAAGCCAACCTCTTTATATTGACCATCTCTGAAAGTTATATCTTGGCAACCTGGACCTTGATAAATAATATTAAGTTACTCTCTATAACTTGACCAGCTGAGTCCAGTCTGCACCAAGGGCAAGAAAAGTGAAATGCAGAATTGGTAGTAATGAATTTCTTTCCAGAAGAATATCAAAGAATACAATATTTTTGACTTTGATTCGGCAGTAAAGTTGATGACATCTTTAACGCTGACGAGTGTGGACTCTTTTTCAAGGCGATGCCTGACAGGAGCCTCATTACGAGGGGTGACAAATGTAGGAGTGGAAAACTTTCTAAAGAACTTTTTAAGAATTCTGTTGTGTGCTAGCTTAACCGGAGAGAAGCTATAAACCTTCGGTAAAGCCTTGCTCATTCAAGAACCTGCAGCCCAAAGATATTCCCGCCACCTGGAAATCTAACAAACCTGCATGGATGACTCTATTTGTGGAGTGGACCAAGAAATGAAGAAGAAGAAATGGTCCATTCTCCTTGTAGTGGGCAATTGTCCTAGTCATCCCAAAGTGAATCATCTTATAAACATGAAACTGAAATTTTTGCCTCCAAACGCTACATCAAAAATTCAACCATTCGACCAAGGCATAATCAAAACATTCAAAATGCATTACCAAACTCAGCTTCTGCAGTGGGTCATTCCTAAAACACAAACCTATGGTCTCTCTGCTGAAGCAAAACCCTGACCCCGAAGCAATTTTCCAATCAGTCTTAACCGAGGTACAACCCTGCGGAAAAGTGCTAGAAGCAACTGACAAAGCAGAAGAATTAAGTGAGGAGGACACAGAAATTGCAGATACCATGTTTCCCCAAAAATAAAACCAGGTCTTTTTTTTTCCCTCCAAAAGAGGCACCAGGTCTTATTTTCAGGGTAGGCACCAACAACCCCATCCAGCTGGTCCACTTCTTCTGGGACTGAAGTTCTGCAGCTGCATTCGGGCCTGCATTTTGCAGTCAGGCCTCAATCCATACCTTGGTACTCGGCTGCTGAGGTCTTGAAGAACCGAGCTATGGATTGAATCCATAGCTCAGTTCTTGGTTGCACAGGCCTTCTGGAAAGCCCTGTGACTGAGAAATGCAGGCCTGGCTGCAGAAGGGGCCTCAGAAGAAGAAGTGGGTCAGCAAGGAGAGGCCTGGCTGTAAGGTCAGTGGGTGCGAGGCAGGTGGGGGAGCTCCACAACCCTATCCCCGCCCTAGCTTGATTTTTAATTCTGTGCCTCGCCTCCAAACTAGTGCTTATTTTGGGGATAGGGCTTCTATTAGGCCCACCCCCCCAAAAATCAAACTAGGGCTTATTGTTGATGTGGGCTTTACTTTCGGGAAAACATGGTAGTCATTTGCCCTGGAAAAATGCCCAGGTATGCTGAGTGGTATAGCCAGCATTGAGAGTGCTTTCTCCGCTTAACTTCATAAAGAGAATAAGAAACAGATTAAAATTGACTTTTTTTTCCAGAAAGAATGACTACACTTTAATTTTGTGTAATACAGTATTGATGAATGATTTTCCTGTGTTTTCATTATGTATGTTTCTGTATGACATTCTATAATAAAAGCTTTACAATAAAATGAGGCATGTGTACATATCAGTACAGTTGTTCCGTATGTTGACCATTTTTGTTCAGTCTCTTGGGTGGTCAACTTTCAGAGGTTTTACTGTATATAAGGATTCAATCCTCTAAACAAATACTTTATGATAAATCTCACTAATTTTTCCAGAATTATTCCAGAGCACAAAACTTTGAAATAAAGCCTTGACTTTAGGAGGAACCACAGCTTTTTCCACATTCTTGATAAGCTCTTCTGCAAGATTTTAAAAGCTGAATTGATGAATTTTCCTTCTGTTAATGCAGGCTGGACTTTCCGTCAGGTCAAATAAGAGACAGCCTTGAGTAACTTACTCATCTCCTTCAGGGCAGATCCCTGTGGTCTCATCATATTTGGTGCAGTAAATGTCAGGACTGTAGTTAAAGGTGCCATCCCGACGGCGGATAGATCGGCGACGACGCTGGTTAACAAAGTGCCAATGGAAGCATGTATAGGGCCTGTGCTGAGTACATTTGTGCTGCACAAACAGGGGACACTGCTCTGTGCGGAATTCCTTCAGGTATCTGCAAAGAGAAAGAGACTGGTTTGAGTTACAGCCAGACAGCTCAACTGAGCCCCACAACAGATTCACACCAAATCATTCTGCCCTTCTTGTTTAAGTTTGAAATTGAAATATATTCACAAAAAAGCTGGGCAAACATATGGCAGGTGTGAATAAATTATTTATTCTCTTCTTAGCAATCAAAATTTCTTCCCCAATTTCGTGTATTTCCATTTGCCTTTTGCTTCCCACAAGGAAACCAGTTGAGTTGAGCAATAAAACACTCAGTTTAATTTCTACATTCTTGGATCTTGTTTCAGATGAGTTAAATTAGATTACCATCTTTGTGGCAGCTACATGCTGTCAAATGAATGCCAGAGCAAAAGAATCAAGAGATAAAGAAAAGGCCGATAGTTTATAAAAAAATTTTTTTGCATTAATTACTAATAAGTCTACAGTCCAAAGAAGTGAGAAGTTGCACTATATGAGAAGAGTAAGGAAAGGCATCGAGTATTTCTATCAGTTGAAGTTCTCACTGTCCTCATAATACTCAGGAGTATATTTTGCAGGAGCAGAAAAAAAGATGCCAGGTCTGGTACTGGAGCACTTACTTTGTTGCCAGGGTAGAGTAGGGCAGTCTGCAAACTGCCTGCCCTACCCTAGCTCAAGAATATGAAATGAGATTCAGAAGAAAGCAAGAAAATATTTTGATTTATTATAAGGAAAGGTAGATTAATTTTTAAAAACTTCATGATAATGCTGCTTTCATATTTCATTTGATATTGTTTGTTAACCCCTGTTGCTTTCCAGGCCTTTCCACTTATATTATTTAGTTTTGCTGGAAGGCAGTGAAGAAACTAGAGAAGTGAGAACTGGTCCAAACGAGGTAGATGGCTCATAGCCTGAAATTCCATCTATTTTAAGCTTCACTGGGAATCCTACACTTATAGCAGAATACCCGTATTTTAGACACAGTTCTATACAATTTTGCTTTGATGTATGTGTGAGCAAACATATGCATTCATGGTACAGGAATACATCTTTGTTTACTCAAAACATTTGCATTTTCTTAGGAAACTGGGCAGGTTATTTAAAAAACAAAGTGTAAAACAATTGAAGAGGCATTGCTTCAATGTTTACTAACATAATGTAAACTGAAGGATTTAAAAGCTCGAGTCCATCTGCACTATTCTGATTCAATAATTCCGGATTCTCAAATACTTCTTATTAACACATGGCTTTTAAATGAATACAATTAATTGCAAGCACGAAAAGATTACAGATAGTCCTCGACTTAGTCTATTCATTCAACGACAGGTCAAAGTTACAGCAGTACTGAAAAAGTGATTTTATGACTATTCCTTGAAATTCCAGCCATCGCAGTCATGTGATTGCACACTCAGATGCTTGGCTCATGATTACATCGCAATGAGCCACATCGTGTGATTGCCATTTGCAATCTTCCCATCTAGCTTCCCACAAGCAAAATCAATGGTGAAGCCAGCAGGGAAGTTTGCAAGTTGCCCTAGTAAGTTGCTCCCACTGCTTTTTCTCCTGAGGAGCTTGTTACAGAGTGCACGTTTCCAGGAATCTGGTATTTCGTAGCAATCCCGTCCATCTACACTCCATAGTGTATGTGTGCCTTGCTCTCTTGAATCCTTCGCTGACCCACCTGAGGTCATGCCCAGCAGCCTCTCCTGACCCACCTGAGCCTCTGCCAGCCCCCTTGCAGCTTCTGCTGACCTGCCCATGCTCTCTGGTGCCTGCCTCCAGCACCTTCACCTCTCCCATGGCACCTGTACCTTCCCACTGCTTTTTCCCCGCTTAACAACCCACACACAAGCTGGGGTTATGACAGCAACTGGGAGTGCCAGGATTGCTGTCATTAAGCGATGGAGTCACATGATGTTGTGCTTTACAATTGCTGTTGTAACTCGAGGATTACCTATACTGTCAAAAATCAAGGGTTTTCTGAATGTACAGAATTCTATAAACAGTTTTGTCTGCTCAACACAAGGGAACAGTTTTGTTTTTGAACATTTGGCTGGAGTCTAATATTCCACATTCATTATTAACCACCAGAATAAAAACCACCTTTATTTGCAATGGTTTTTATGGATACGAATTACATGTTTTTTTTAAAAAGCATCTAAAATATTGCTTGAACTAAAGCAGGGAAACAAGCAAGCATACTTCAGTATTTACATCATGTAATAATGTATACTACTTTTATTGCAAATGAAAAAGAATTCTTACATCAGCAACCTATTCCCAAAGGATTAACAAACTTTACATAGGAACAGCCAGTCAATAAAGCTCAATAATGCAAATTAAGCTTGGCCATCATCATCATGATCCAGGTCCAAATTTAAAGTAAGAAATAATGTATGTGTAAATATGGACACAACTAGAGGCATTACAGTGTGAACATTACAAGATATGTTCACGGATGAGCCACTTGTCATACAGTAAATAAATTGCTTAGTAAGGCTCCAAACCCCACCCAAATAAGACAACTTCCTTAGACTCTTGATATGATTAAACATAATCAAATATTAAATCACAAAGCTAGTATGATATTTCATATAATCAAATGTGAACAGGAAAAAGGAAAAAAATGTCAAACTATGTATCAGGTAAACTGCTTTCTATAGAAATCTAAACAGGATGTATGCAGTATTTGCAGAACTGTTCCATGTTTCTATATTCTAGTAGATCTAAGGAGGCTTTTTGTTACAGGAGATTCATGGCAGAAGTAAGCAAGTGAGGAAAATAAGTCTCAGATTATGATGTTTTCCCTGCTGGTGCGCATATCTGGTTACAAATAATCTTTGTTCATTATTTATTCCATTATTTTAAAGTAGCAGATAAATATTTCAGTATGTTGTTTCTGAAGATACATGGCTTTATTAATTATTACATTTATATCCCTTATAATATATTAATGTTGGTGCTTAATGTCTGGATTTCCATATTGCACCACACCAGATATGTCAAACTCGCGATGTCACATGACGTCATGCAACATATCAGAGCTTTTTCACCGTTGCCGGCAATGGGGTGGGCGCGGCTCCGGTATGATGAAACCGGCCTGCGGGCCGGCAGTTTGACATCCCTGCACTAGACCATGGTTTGTTAAGCTAGCTGAAGTGGCCTGAATTGCAAATAAACTTAGAAAATAATGCATAAAATATTGCTATCTGGGAATGCATAACATATTGCTATCTGGGGACAACACTTAATTAACTTCTGAGGCAAAGCTGCAGTAAGATAGTTATATAAAGAAAGCAGAACGGCTTTCTGAATGAGAGTAGAAACGGGATTATTATTTTTTGCCTGGAATTGGGATGGGGGTAATTGTAAAGCTTCTACTACAGTTCTTGTATACTTTTTGCCTCAAAATAGAGGGAGCCATCAATTTTTTGCAATTGAAGAGGGAAAAGAGTTTTCAGGACCACAAAGTAATAGCATTTCCGAACTGCATAAAGGCCTCATATTGTACTTTATGACAGGAATAAACATACCAGTGGCTGGGTTTACCCAGTACTCTTAACCAAACAAAACAAACTTCATTATGGCTTAATGCAGTGTTTCCCAAACTTGACAATTTTAAGGCATGAGGACTTCAAATCCCAGAATTCCACAGCCAGCAACGCTGGCTGTGGAATTCTGGGAGTTGAAGTCCACATGCCTTAAAATTGTCAAATTTGGGAAAAACTGGCTTAATGCAATATACCACAAGATGTAAAACAAGACTGTGGTCCTGCCTTTGATTTGGAAATACAACTTCTGCTTGTTTTGACTCAACATCTTGAATACGGTATATTAATTTATTTTTAATTCAGGTAACTGAGGAATCTCTCTATTTAAGATTTATCTCCCAGTCTGACGGTCTAATATGGGAATTCTAGAGTCTGGAATACTGAAATTTTCAGTCTGTATTTTAAGTAACTGAAAATGAAATGAGTTTGATTTTTTTCATTTTCATATTTTGTGAATGCACCTGGGGGTGCACTTCATTTCTCTCTTAAGAATAATAACCAAACAAAGTGACAAGGCCCAGAATCACTAAGAGTTGTAACCCCTTTTCTTGTGTAATAATTTCAAGTTTAAAAGATTGTCCCCGAAGTACTATTTCTTCATCACAGTTTGAAGCTGCCATGAGGATGAATGTGCTAAACAGCACTAAATGTTATAGAAGTATCATGATAATTTGTTACAAGTCTATGTGTAAAACTGAAATTTATTTATATATGGGAAGAATCTACATTACATTTCTCAATATACTTCTAAGGTCTTTACATACATATACAGATTTTTATGTCTCTCCAGAATATCTCATCAGTTTCTTTTTTGTGCATTATGTCCTATTTAGCTGACAAAGTGGAAGGAGTCAGCAAGAAGCAAAATACTTCATCTGAGAAGCTAAATGATTTGTTTTCCTTTGTTAGCTGCAACATATGTCCTTTGAGTCTAATATACTCTGATTATTTATAAGCTAAATAAGCAGAAATTTGCAATCCACCCTCCTGGATTTTATGCAGTTGTACAGAGAAAAAGTTGACAGGTGGAGCTTACCCTACTTGGTTGAGAAAATCCTTTCCACTACCTAAAGATGTAAAAGCTCTACTGTCCTTGGCATTTAGCTAAACCATTTTTGTAATTTCTGCAAAAATTAATCTTAGAAATAAAATAATACTAACATCCAAATAACCAAAACAATTTCTTGACACAATGGACCTTTGGAATTCAATCTCTGCTCTCGGTTATTTTGATCTCAAGTCACAGTCTTCAAGAAAGCAAAAAATAGTTCTTTCCCCCCCCAAAAAGAATGCATTAGCACTCCTTATTACTGAGTGAGAGGCCTTAAAGAAAGCAATAGTTTCCTTTTATCTAAAACATACAGTCTGATTTATTTTCATATCAAGCAAAATAAACAGCAAACCCAACTTTGAGAATAAAGTAAGTTGGTAAAAATGCCTGTTAGAACCTAATCAGCAATAGTTCTGAAACTGCAATGGA